ATAAACATCAATATTCTCGCCGTTTTTTTTCAACGACAAAAACTTTCGATAAATTCAATGGACCAGACGGCTATGAACGAAGCTATCCGATTATGTGGTTCCCAAACTTAAAAGCGCTGCGCATTTTGCACACGGCAAAGCTGGGGCCACATAATCGGATAGCTTCGTTCATAGCCGTCTGGTCCATTGAATTTATCGAAAGTTTTTGTCGTTGAAAAAAAACGGCGAGAATATTGATGTTTATTTCGGCTGTTGCGTTGTTTATATTACCGTTGAAGTTTAAAATTGACCATCATCGTGAAGAATTATATCTTCTGTGTCGAGGGACCAAAGGATTATGTGAAAATATTGGAAATGGATTAAAATACATGGTGATTATGACGGTAGGGGTGCGGATTTTTTCCGGCGAACATTTTTATCTTGTGTATTATTATAGATGTTGAAATATGACTTTTTTTCAAAACGGCTTATATTAAGTTTTTTTATATATATATGATCAGTACATGTGCTGGGATTGCCAAATATGCATTTTATTTGGATTTTAAAGGCGTTTTGAGCTCCAAACCCCAAGCGTCTGTGCTTTTTAACAGTTTTGACATTTGATCGTAAATCTTAATCGATTTTAAAATGTAAAACCATAAATATATATTAGTTATTAATTTCTCTTGTTCACATACAGTACAGAGTCGGTCAGATTTGCCCCTGTAGATCTGATGTCTTTTAACTTAAACTCTATTGCCCTGCTTTCTTGCGATTCAGGCCATACTCTCAACAATTAGAGAGGGCGTGGCCGGTCAATGGATCTTAAATTGTCCAAGTTAACAAATGTTATCAATTTCCCCGTTTTTATATATGACGCAAAAGTGTGACAAAACTAACATCAGACATCTGTTGATTTGATTGACAAACAGTGAATAAAGGTCACAAAAAACATTTCTAACTTGTATTAATATATTCATTTATCTGAATATTTTATTTCATTTCTGACATGTAATGGTAAATGTTACGTAATCAATTTTAAAACGGTTTCCGAATCAAAACCGCAAACATAAATTAGTGACGAACCTTATACCTTTCGTACAGTAAAAACTTTCGAAAATATTTTATAGTCCGTAATAAGTCCAGTTCAAGGCTGTTATTGAAGTATTTGAAGTATTTATTAATGAAAAATTAAGAAAAAACATAAGTTATCTCAAATTCATAGAGATAAACAGGAAGTGAGTAATATGTCTCATTGTTGAATTTAAATAGAATTGTTATTTCCCGTTATATGACTCATTTGATAGGCTAGAAGGAGACCCAGGTACACCAATCTTATGCTGTAAAAGATCTTCTATGTTAAGGGCTAGTGATATGAGTGATATGGCGTCAAATACCTTAAAATTATTTCCGAATCGGTGGAATATATCTATTATGTTGCAGTTATGCGTTACTAGTAAGTCACGTGGTGATTATACATTTATGAGTAAATATACAATCAGCTTCCCGGTTAAATTAACGACAATGACTTGACTTCAGGACCATTCGCCGCTTTTTCATGGAATGGCACGGACATGTTACATTGAAGGTTCCATGGTTACCGCCATATGTCTACAGAAGTTTCTAAAGTTTCAGTGTGTCTATAAGCTTATAGCTTCCTACATGACCGAATTCAAATAAATTCTGTATAAACCAAATTTTCACCGTTTTCATGTTCAGCTTCAGTCGGTGCTGGGGGGTGGCGTGGACGGTGTCATTCAATTACCACTACCTTCCATGAACAGGCTCATTCAAACGGAGCCTGTTACAATTCAATTTTGCCATTTTTGGCGTTTGGTTATGGATACCCTTAATTACTATTTTTAGAATCCCAGAAGCAAAGCAACGCAAGCATTTCTATAACTCGTACCAGTATTTAGCTTGTATATAAATGCAGTTGACAAATTCCTACACTTCAAATGAAATATGTCATGAATAAATTATGACTTTGATTCTCATACTTTGTCTTGAGAGACGGTTGTATGAAGCGAATATCTTGTTTTTTTCCTTGTGCGGTCTCTTTATACAAGTCTGGCAAGTGTTGTTGTTTTTGTTGTTGTTGTTGTTGCTGCTGCTGTTGCTGTTGTTGTTGTTCTTCTTCTTCTTCTTGCTGCTGCTTTGAGGATGGTAATATATGTTGTTGTTTTTTAATTGGAATTCTTTTAATTGAATTTAGTTCGCTGATAGAATATTGTCTAATTTACTTCAAATTCATCAACGGTATATCAATTAGAAGTGCATTTGTGATTGATCTTTTATATTTTTACCTTGAAAGCGACTGTATGTAAAATAGGTGCATTAAGTACGGTGTTGACTTATATTGCATCATAAATATCACATGATTCAAATATTTCATTAACAAGTCGTAATATATTACCTGCTTATTTGTTTTTAACGTTCTAAAATACTCCTTTCTTTATATTTTTAATTATGTTATTTACTTATTTGTTCCTGTTTTTACGCCCGGCAATGCTCGTCTAATATTGTTTGTCTTTAAAACTATTTATTGAAAACATGATTATTATAAAGTACAGTCAACCCTTTTCCTAAAGCCAACTTATTGTGTAGACCAGTCACTTATAGAAACTCTTTTTTACTGATAGCCATTGATTTGTTTACCCACTGGGTCAATAACATTGAAGTCTTTCTTCTTGTTTTTAAACATAAATATTAAAGAGCTGTTTAGCCTTTTTTACCTTTTTTCATAAAAAAACATTGTGACCAGAAACAATTGAAAAACAACGTTAATTCAATTTAAATCTCGTTTTTAAGAGATATCGGTGTTTAAGTATGTGTGTATGTATTTATTAAATAAATACATGTGGTGTAAAATAAGTCGAATAGTAATTTATCAAGTTTATAATTATGCATATTTACATCTGTTGATTTCTATTGCATATACGTACGAGAAAATTAATTAGCATTATTATTATATATTAATTGTGTTTTAAGTTTTTTTAACACTTAAATTCATGTTAAAGTCCATTGCAACCTGAGATTTAAGGGCATGTTCTTTTTGCCCCTTATGGCTGAGGGGCTGCCTTTAATGGTTGGGGCATAAGAATTGCAGCTACCGTTCAGCCCTGCGTGATCGTAAGAGGCGACTAAATGGGTTCGAATAACTGGAGCCTATGCATCTGTTAGCTCCAGCAGGTGAGGTGGTTCTGAACCCTGGTGTTGCTTTGAGATTTGTAACACCTTAGCTAAAATCATCTTTCCTGCCATATGTCCTGTACTGTGTTGGTGCACCGTGAAATCAGACCAAATAGAATTTGATATTAAATTTCTTCAGAAATATGTTTTCTTCCCATCAGATGTAACATTAGAACATACTTTTATATTGTATTTGCAGGTTAAGATACATATTGTTTGTTCACACAAAACTAAAAAAGACAATGGTCATAAAGTGTGTAAGAAATGATAAGAATATTCACAATTAACACCACCCCGCAATTAAGACCACTTTGGTCCAGCCCCGATGGTGGTCTTAATTGGGGTTTTTTTACAGTACTTAACATTTTTAAGTACTTGTGTATTCAGTTTAAACACTGATCAAACAATACTATGTTTTATTTTATTAATTAGTTATCATCATAGGAATAGTGCATGTCGTCCATCATTGTGACTTAATGTAACACACAAAATCATCTTTCCTGTTTCGGCGCTATATGACCTTAACTGTGTTCGTGCGCCGTTAAACCAAACAAAAAGAGAAAAAAATGAGTTGATATGTTTTATTGATATACTATATTGCTGTCGTATTTCTGAGTATGCAACCTGGGCATACGTGTATGCACATAGGGGGCACACGTGTATGCACACGGAGAATAAAACGAAACAAAACGAATGTCGTGGAATCGAAATGCATACATTTCCAGTTGATGGACAATAACTGGTAGCGCTAGGGTGACATTGTACTAACCTATTTTAATATCACTAACATTATTATGATAACAATAATTATTTCTTGATGTTGAAATATGTAAATAAGATTTCATTTAAAGTATTTATCGTATGTTGTTTAAATAAAATAGAAATAAAGAACATTTGATAACCAAAAAATAAGTGCGTACAATGCGAATATTTGGACTCCATAAATAAAAGTGTTTTAGTTTAGGCGATGATATACATATAACAATTCATAAACTATGTCTGTATATACATTGTACCTAAAACAAATCTATTTTGATTCTAACTTTCTGATATAAATTGTAAAATTCCCATTATCAATCATTCTTGAATGCTTTGCAAAGGTGTTTTCTTTTCAAAACATAACGTTTGTCATTTTTGAACTTTATTCTATTCTCTGGTTGACTTAACTATAGTAATGATTGATTTATACAATTACAGTTTTGACCTTTGTTTCCGGGGTTACACTTTTACTGTCACCCCTTGCATTGTCTCACACAATGCTATTAAAAAAAGCAATACTTAGATCCTATTTATAAATTATGCATCACATATTATTATTCGTACAGCATTTATGTGATGGATCCTGTAGATGACATTTTCTTCGTGCTTAACGTTTCGTATGTGCTCGAAGTTTAATACATTTACACCGACGAATTTGATGAAAGTAATACAAAACGTATGGTGTTTTTTTATTGGCCGTTTATCCAATGTTCCGTGACGCCTTTTTTTTAAACGTTTAACAATTTTAATGAGTCGACAATGACAAATCTATTCTTTGACACCTAATTATACAAACTAAATGTGGGGGGAAAAAGCAACATGTAATGATGATAAAATATGATAAATGATAGTTCTCTTAACATTTTTACCACCAAATTTCAAAAGCCTACAATTCGCTGCTCTTTCAAATTTGTATTAATTTATTGAACTTATGAAATAAACGCGTGCACCGGATAATTTAGTGAGTGATTATTTATTTTGTTGCAAATTGCAAGAATGATTAAATTTGACTAAGACCTTTTGTGCAAATGCACGTGCGTGTTGTGAATTTCTTTAGGATAGAAAAAAATATGGAGTCTACGTCAATTCGTAAAGCATTGACAATAATTTTATTAGTGTGTTTGTTGTTTGTTCTGGTTGTGTTCTGTGTTGTTTATATTTGGAGCGTTAAATCATCAAATAATCAACAGATAGTACGGAGTGAACAGTACAGTGGTAAACGTAACGCGGAGGACACTGATACAACCACGGAGCATTTACATTCGCATAATGAACATGCAGAAGCTCCGACGACGACGACGACAGCGAGGACAACATCAGTAGCAACAACAACAACAACAGCACAACAAGCATCAACAACTGAATCAGGTGAGTAATACTGTGGTGTTTCGCATTTTCTTTGTTTCTTTTGCTTCCCCTTTGCTTGCTTTACTACTTCAGAGATGTCCACAATGATTTTAAAAAGTATTGTGTCAAATGTTGAGCGTAAGGCCCTGCAGTGTGTATAACTTCCATTGCATGGGTAATTAATGTTGCTAACTTTGAATCACTCGCCCACTTAACGGTTAACGGTAAGGGTTCGAATCCCACCTGAGACAAAGGTGCAAAATAAAATTAATTAAAAACATTGCTTTGTCATATTTCAATAAACATTGCAAAAAAGAATCGTCGTGTTTACCACAATGTTTTGTGGTTTAAAACTGACAATAGACAAAAAACCTATCATCTTAATTCTTCAAGGAGGCTTTGTATGATATGCCGGCAACCAAGCAATTTTTACCCTTTTTTTTGGTAAATTTAATCACATCCAAAAACAGTTGACGTCATATAAGAACGTAATTTGGTCAAACTCGTGTTTGATTTTTCATCGTGAAAGTATACATGGCATGTATTTCTAACTTGAAAATAAATGCACAGTTTAAAAGACAGTTTATGTGAAAAAGACTGCCGGAAGCCTTATAATCAGACGAAAAAGTAATAATAATTAGACGCCAATAAGAAAAAGAAATAACGATTTAAACAGCTCCTCAAAAGAAGAGATTTAGGAGCTGTAGCTAATTCAAACGTTCATTTTTTTATTGGTGTCTAATTATTCCTACTTTTTCGTCCTGTGAGTAGGCCTAGATTTTAAAAATTGACTCTTTTTTACTTATATTTTGTAGGTATAATGTTTATTCGGATAGACGCTTAAATGAATTGTTAGATACACGCTATTGAGGATAGTTTATGCGATATAGACAGAGTTTTTTGTAAATCTAGGCATTCTTATTAGGCGCAAAGGGTAGAATAAAGAGAGTAGTCCTACTCGTTTCAGCTTCTCTCTGCATCGCATTGCAACATTGCATTAACCACATTGTTGATTTAATTTTTAATTCTTCAGAAGGTATTTAGGATTCTATGTGGAAAGGCAGCTTAAAACGAATTTCAATACATGTAATTGACTATTTTATTACCTATAAATGACAAGGTGTCATAATTCAGACATATTTACATATCACTGTTGCTTTTATCTCAGGAATGGTAAAATCAGTTAGATGACTAGAAATGGGACCTTCAAACACTCACTGAAGTTGAGGATAAACACTGTGACATTTAACTAATTTGATTCAATGAAGTGGGGGAAAGCTATGACTTGAATACAATATTTTTATTGTAATATGATAAGAAATTTACATTACATTTTCAGGTGAAATCTATCAAACTGTCAACTTCTTAATGAATTTTAAAATTTTTTTATTGTAAATTTCTTGGGGTTTTTTAAAGAATTTGATACTAGGGAAAAGATTTTAAATTATTAAAACGAAAATTTTTGTTCGTACTTTGTAAAATTTAAAGTTTTATGTAAAAAAAAAGTAAACCATTCGCTGATGTTTTACAAAAAAAAGGTAAAACGATACAATTTTTGATTTTTGAAACTTTGGTGGGGAATTCGTCTGTACGAGTTTGGGGGCCCATGTTATAAAAACACTCATAAATCATTTCCCAAAACGGCTTATTTTTCAAATTGTTTTTGGAAAATTTAATAGGGGATTTCCCTATCAAAGCATATTTTTTCTATTTTTAGCAAAATAAATCTTAATAGTCAAAAAAAAAAGAGAAAAAAAAAATTTCCCAAAAGAACCCCCAAAAACCCGAAAAAATTTGAAAATAGTGTTGCAGGCTCGGTTTCTTTGGCCTGTTTGTGGACAATATTGTTTAGTGCAAGTTACCGTCCACACCCCCTAGCACCGGTTTAAGTAGAATTCAATATTTAAACATGAAAAGACGCAATAGAGCTTATTTCGGAGAACGTGTAATAATGTTTCATTGGAAAATTGCAAACAAAAATTGATAATAACATGTATGTAGAATATATATCAAGAATATAAAACTGATGACCCCCGCCGCGTGTCCCCCAGCACTTAATTTGATAATTTTTTGATATTGTGTGTGTAATCTCTAGAATAAGCCTATAAAAGATTGTTTTGATTTGGCGTTTTATGTTTTGTTTTGTCTTTGTGTGTTTGATGTTTTTTGTTTTTTTTGTTGTTGTTTTTAGGGGATTTGTTGGGATGTTCAAAGGTTAAGAATATAAGATATTATCAAAAAAAATATCATTTTTTAAAGTAGGACCTAGTTATCGGGTGAAACTAAGTGGTGTTCAGGAAGCCTCAAGTGGCAAGGTCCTGGTAGAGCACGATGGCCAGACAGGATTCGTCTGCAGTGATCACTTTAGCCACGCAGACGCTAAAGTCGTCTGCAAAGAACTTGGCTTTAAAAATGGTCTGGCTTACAACCTGATAGCGTAAGTAAAATTGCCACTGTTATGATTATATCCTTATATTAATTTTGTTAAAGATATACTATTCTCATCTTTGGGTAACTTTTATTAGTGGCGTATGTAAAAAAAATTCATTATTATAATATTGTCCTTATATTAATTTTGTTAAAGATTATTGCAGAAATATATTGAAATCAAGGAAATTCTTACTTTATATGTCTAATTTGAATAAGAAAAAAGCACAACTAGATGTTTAAGAGCTGCATTCCTTTTTACTGAAATCAAGTTCTTTTGGGGCTTTTAATGATATTGTATTAAAAAAATGTTTTTTTTCCCATAGGGTGAGATTTAAAACTTATACAAAAATTTATTTCTTTTTTGGGCCCAAAATGAGTTTTTTTTGTGCATTTAAAAAAAAATTTGGAAATTAAATTACCATTTTTTTCAAGATTTAAAATTTTAATTTAAACAAAATTTATTTTTTTCCCAATTGTATATTTATTGGATAATTTTTTTTTGAAAATTTTTGTTTCCATTATTAAAAATTTAATTTTTTTTTATTGAAAAACAGAATCCAAATTGGGGGTTAAACCTGTTAAAAAACTGTTATAAAACTGAACAAGAAAAAAAAAACAATGCCTATTAAAAGAATTTTTAATGTAGGTGTTTTGTTTATTTATATAATGTGTTATCGAAACGCCGGATTGAGTATCTTCATATGATTGTATTTCCTTGTTAAATTGTAAAACAATTTGATAGTTTTATAGTAAAAAAATGTTTTCACCACTTTCTAAAATTAATTTGCTAACTCATTTGAATGAAACGTTAACGTCTGTTCAAAAACTGTTTTTTTTTATTATTTTATTGTTGTTTTTATGGTGTTGTACTGTGGTTTGTTAGCGGGAGAGTTATAGAAATTATTGACATTAAAATGAAGTATATCTTATGTTCACGAAACATTAATACAATTTGCTTTTGATATATAACATTGAGCTCGTATTCACAATGAGTGATATACGTTGAGTGCTGTATGAACATGAATTTTATCTACAAAATCAAACCATATAAAAAATCAAACCATATATAAAATCAAACAACTTTTGATTAAACTTTTGTATAAATCAAATACTTGTTTTCAAAAAATTTCGATTAAAGACATTGCACGATGTTCTCGTGGGCGAAACGCGGATCAAAGTAATTTATTCAACCGACACAAAACCATGCAGGAATAGCGGAGACTTTAACTTTTGTCCCCACATTGCAAATCGGACATATCTCCACCGCATTGATATGGTAGTGGGGATAGATGGGGGGGGTCAACTCGGCGCTTTCACGGCCACCACCACTCATCCTTTCGTTCCCACCCCTTACCACCACCACCACCACCACCACCCCCACCCGGCATGTCCAAGAGAATAAGGGCATTTGTTACAAATGACTAATGCATTATGCACATTGTACATGTGTACATTTAATGAGTAATTTTCTGCACTTGCAGTCCTCAAACACCCTACATCAATCTTGATAAACTGTCTGGATGCATTTTCATTGATAGATCACCGCATCGTATTCAGAATTTAATACACTTTCCAAAATGTTCAACAAAAAACATACAAAAAACATACATGCATATAGTGATTTAGTGGCTAATATGCCATTTAATGGTATTGTTGTAAAGATATATAGCCCGAAAGTAAGATGCAGTACCTATTGTGATTGAGTTAAATGTTAATAGGATATTTATTATAAATCATCTTTAGAAGTCCAATTTTTATTCAAGGGCGTAATTACTCCGATAAAAAGTAAAATGAAGGAGTCATGCATTGTATGCTCTCAAAAAAATCTAAAAATAATTTGAATAAAAAATAATAATTTAAAAGTGTTAAACAAATAAAAAAACACACTCGGAAGTGTACACCTTTCTATCTTGTTTCTATCTCTTAAAATTAATTTTTTACCATCTAACTGAAATTTGGACAGTTTTTATTATTATTATCATCAGTATTATTATTATTATTATTATTATTATTATTATTACATGTATTATTATTATTGTTATTACTATTATTATTTTTATCCAAAATAGTTCAGGAGTTATTGTCCGTTAACTCAAAATAACTTTTGGTGGCGTATATAAATGAATTGAGTTCACTTGTTTCACATGCACATCATACTAAAAGTTCTAAGCACGCGTTAAGTATACAATCAAACTTTACATACGTATTTTCTTGTCAACAAAACTTGCTGAAAAATATCCAAAATTAGTATACAATGATTTCAACGGGAAAATAACATTTGAGACATGATCTTGTTTATTTTTTTCTTATTATTGTCCTTACTTTTTCAACTGTGATCTTATGAACACCATTATTTTAACATCATTTTATATGTTACAGATCGTTTCCATACAGCCGTTACACAGAAGACGAGCCGATTCTTTCAAATTTGAATTGCATCGGAAACGAGGCTAGATTAAAGGATTGCAATGGTTTCCGGTTGGATAACGTAACTTCCTGCACGTGGTTTGCTGCGGCACTTTGCTACAATAACAAGCGTAAGTTTTAAACTGCGCTTTTTATAAACAAAATGGTATATCTAAGCCCAAAATGCTAATTCAGGCTATTTTTTAAATCTTTTTTATATTAAAATTTTCATCCAGATTTCTAATCCAAACATTAATTAATATGTGAGAAATCATGTTATGCGAATGCATGTAATTTATATTTTGCTACAGTCAATAAAACCCTTACTAACAAAATGTCACGGAGTGTCATAAATATACTATATTAAAAATTTGTTGTCAGTTAATTAGAAATTTTGTAAGAAATCTAAATATGTCCATGCTATTAAAACAAAAAATGCATATATATCCATTTCAAATCTTCACATTTGTAAACAAAACTTGAGCAAAATTAATTCATTTTGCGCAACTGCTGAGAAAAAAACCCATATAATTCTTCTTATTAGCATTTTCTAACTGGCACAACGATAGAATGATCAACCGGTCGATTCACCACTTTACAACATGCTTATGATTACACGTACATTTTGATATACTAATCACTTTTTCTGTATCATTTTCAGCGTACGAGCTACGCCTGGTGAACGGTATAAATCCGGATTCCGGCATGGTGGAAATGAAAGTCAGCGAGGAGTGGGGAACTTTGTGTGCAATCAGAAATTTCGACGATGACGTGGCTGATATTTTGTGCCGAAGCATGAACTTTACCGGCGGTTTAGCAATAGACCGGGGAATGCTCGGCGAGGCAAGGTTATCTAAAGTCTGGTTACCGTACATTTCGTGTACGGACGGAGCGGACATTAAACATTCAATATTGGAATGTAGTCTTATTCTAAATACTGAAGATATTTTAGTGGATTTAATGGACCACAGAAACAATAGATACAAAAATGAGTACATGGCATGTGTCAGTAAGCCAAATTCATACGCGTCCGCCGTGCAGTGCCTGATATGATGTGCCGTGCATTATATAAAGGGAAAATGTACGATAAAATGTTCCAAATGCAAAGGTAGAACTTCTACCTACATTAAACATTAGCTGTAGCTCTCTGCTAAATCAATTTGAAGCATTTTATGCAAAAGAAGGTTTTCTTCAACACGATTTTTCATTTATATTTTGCATTCAAGTCACGTGATCCCGAGATGAATCAACACAAATGGTACTTGTATTAAGGAACTATCTCTTGGAATAAGTGAAAAAGCATTTCACCTTTCCCTTTTCGCTGTGATTTTAGAAATATTTAGAGACATGATTTATTTTCGGAAAGATGTTTGGTGCACCAAATTTGTCCTTGATCAGGTTTGCCAGCATGCAAAATGTTAGAAACATTTACAGCTTTCCCTTTTAATACATGTAATATAACAGGGTTAAAAACAAGCACAAGAAAGAATTTTAGTTGCTTTAATTATTGAAGAGCTACAACTCTGCTATTGAACTCTTTTAAGGCGTTTGCTTTAAGAGTATAAAGCTATATCTTATTTTTATAAAATTAATCAACAGTAAAATTCTATTAGTCTCACAATGTTATGATTGATTCTCGATAGAGTTGCAGTAAATGAAGTCTTTGAAATTAAGTCTACAAGTGAATAATGTACGTAAACAGAACAAAATGATCCGGGACAAAATATTATTCTGCTATTTTGCGTATGATTTTATCCATTTAGCAATGATTTTGTGCATGTCACATTCACTTTCAAGGCAATTTTCTACCATATTCATTTCATACAAGCATTTTTGAAGTATTCTTTTTTTATAAATTCATACAATATTTTTTAAAGCAGATATATAGCTTTATACACCTTAAAGCACTTACATATTTTTAAACTGTTTATTAACCTGACATTTGCAATTTAACATGTAATTACTATAACAAATTATGAGTGATAATGGACCATGAAATATTGTTTCAATTCATTATTATAATTCATTTATCAACTTATTTTATAATTATATTTTCGATTCATTGCATTTTATGGTTATAAATTTAATTTAAGAATTACAATGTGCAATCATAATAATAAATTGATTTTTAATTGCTTTAATTGTTCATAATTATTTATACAAAGAAAAAAATTTCCTCGACAATCAGTAATGCACGTATTACACGTGGCGATGGAGATGTGACTTATGGTAGATCATTAGATAAAACGCCTTTCGCCCTTATGATGTTCTATTTTTTGTCAAATGAAAGCATGTACTCGCCAGTTGCTTCCTCGTCCAAATTTCATATATTTAAATATATATACAAATTATCACGCAGATGGTTTTAAACTCAAACCAGCTTCATTTGAACTTTTCACAGAAAAAAAGACATACTCAGATTAAATCCTAGAGAATTTGAACGCATTGACAGGAACGTAATGAAAATATGATTTGATCATTTCCGATTAAAAGTGTATAATCTTGAACACATTAAAATGTAAAATCTTGAACACCTCAAAAGGGAACATTTTTGACACATAAATGTGTTTAAACTTGAACACATTAAAGTTTATAATCTTGAACACATTAAAGTTTATAATCTTGAACACATTAAAGTGTATAATCTTGAACACATTTCATCGAATAATCTTGAACAGATCAAAGTGTATAATCTTGAACACATCAAAATGTATAAACTTGAACACATTAAAGTGTATAATCTTGAACACATTAAAGTTTATAATCTTGTTCACATTAAAGTTTATAATCTTGAACACATTAAAGTGTATAGCTTGAACACATAAAAGTGTATAATCTTGAACACATTAAAGTGTATAATCTTGAACACATTTAAGTGTATAATTTTGAACAGATCAAAGTGTATAATCTTGAACACATCAAAATGTATAATCTTGAACACATTAAAGTGTATAATCTTGAACACATTAAAGTTTATACTCTTGTTGACATTAAAGTTTATAATCTTGAAAACATTAAAGTGTATGGCTTGAACACATTAAAATATATAATCTTGAACACATTAAAGTGTATGATTTTGAACATATTAACGTGTTTAATCTTAAACACATTAATACTTATTATCTTGAACACATCAAAAAGGGGGATAAAATTAGCACATTAATGTGTTTAAACTTGAACACATTAAAGTGTATAGCCTGAACACATTTAAGTGTATAATCTTGAACACATTGAAGTGTATAATCTTGAACACATTAAAATGTATAATCTTGAACACAATAAAGTGTATAACCTTAAACACATCAAAGTGTATAATCTTTTAACAAATACAAAATTGTTGTGAATACAATGTCCTCTATATATTTTGTGTTGTTAAAAAACTACTTAATTTTAAAGCTACTTAAAATTTCGTTTCTCTTAATTCCCAAGTATGTAATGTCAAAGCATGTCGCAAAATAAATATATGCTATACATTTGTATTTATCATCAGCAAATTATTATAACCATAAATAATGCATGCTTATTATATAAATATATACAATTAAGAATGTAATGTTAACAATGGTATTATAAATAAATGTACTGATTACACGTGATTGATTCTGTCTCCCATAAACCATGTTAAAAATGCATTAGAAGAGCCGACTGTTTTACAATTTTATATATTGAAATAATTAATATAATAAACACGTTTCAGTGACTATACATTAATTACAAAGTTCGTTATTACTCCACAAAGACTCCTGACAACCCTAAAACTTTTTCTCTGACAGGTGACTAATTACTAATTAATTACTGGGCTACTTTAGCTGTCATCCTTAAAATTATCCTCTGGTCATTTCATATAACAGTTTAAACATAACGCAGCATTACGCGAATTCATCTTCTCAAGACGGCCGTACAATAAAGCTTTTTCTTATTACCTTAAGCAAATTTGCTTGCATAAACACTGCATTGCACTGGTACAGAACCTCCCTATTATGTAGAAATTGTTACATAAAGCGTTTAAATGTAACCTAAAGCTGCATGATGCTGCTTTTTACGTGTGCTTTTACTTTTTATCTTGTCAATTGTAAGGTATATACACCGCCTCAAGGTTTGACATACTCCACTTTCTTTCTTGATTGGCATAGTTCCTGAAGAAAGCTTTTGTCTTTGGGTTTCTCAAACCTTTAAAATGAGACGTCAAAATTAAACTATATTATAAAGATATATTAAAAATAAAGACACATCTACGCGGGATATAAAATGACTGAAAACATTGTATAGATCAAGGGGTGAGGGAGTTAAAAGAGAACCTTAAAGGTTTAAAATGAACTTTAAGATAAAGAAATAAATTATTGAGCCATTGACATTAATTAACTTTCAGGTTTGTTACATGCTTTGTAAGATTGTCGAAATTTACTCCGTTCCTAAACTGAATTTTCATTAAAACGCTATCGGGTTAATATAGTTTACAAAGCTCACACTTTTCAGCCTCAGAATCAATTCCGACAAAGCATTTTTGAACTGTTAATTGGGTATACTGTTTATACACTGCTAGAGAGCGTTTCCGATGACACTACGGGTTTCGAACCGGCGACCGCGAAGTCAAGATTTGATTTTTAGTATTAACCAAAAGTCACAAGGAGAGAGATCGGAAATTCACGGTGCATGACAGGGATTATCCGATTAGTTCTATCTTCCTTAAACATTGACACCCACCTGGCAATTGCACGATATGGAAGGGCATTTTATTCCATAAACTTAATCTAGATCCGTTTTTATTTCTGACCCGCATTTACCCAATAACCCACGAATTTTGCATCTCCAAGCAACTCGGCTATGTTTACAACCACATGTACATGTCTTTAAACGACCTGCTAAAATTGCATTGCACGTGCAAATCGTGCGAAAATAGACGGTTGGTTAGAAAAATCAATAATCTTGCCAACGGTATATTATACATGTAATTTCACGTGCAAATCATGGTTAAATTGAGTTGTTGCTACTATTTAAAATATGGTCTTGTAATTTTGAAGGGTTACGATGATTGCACTTTATGAATACAGATTTAACTTTTTAATTTGAAAAGGGCAGAAATGGGTAAAATGTTAAAGATCCTGTAACTCATTTTTTTTATGGTTTTATATCATAAATATAATTATCAAATGAAGATTTATCAATATTGTAAGTTCCAAAAAGCATTATTTGTAAAGATATTACCGAATTTACAGTTCATGTAAATAAAGGGAGGCAATTAGAAATTTATTTTCGATAAAGTGTAAGCCAAATATTTCAATAAGAAATGAATGCATATATATTTCAAAGATTTCTTATAATGCGCAAAAACATTTGCAGTACATATTTAACATAGTCTTGGATGTTTGGATATTGTTTTAGAAGCATAGTTATATACATATATAAAATTTCGCTACTTGAATTACAACATACAGTCTTTAATATGCTGTTGCTTTTTTTTTTTACTTTTCTATCTAAATGTTTTTATTTTGTTGATGTAGTTGTTTGTGATGGTGGCACAATCAAGCAAACCTTGGAAAATAGGTTAAACATCTTGATAAATTGATAAATAGTGGGACACGTACAAACAAAATGAACAGAATATTCTTAGTTTTAAAATATTTGAATAACCTAAGCATTTAAAGTGACATTATGCACATTAAGTCGCTGTCAAATTCAGGTGAATTTGTAATTTTTAAAATATTGAATTTTATATTGGTGATTGACCAGTGATTGATAATGTAAAGAATATTTAGTATAAAAAATTAAAACTATCTAAATTATAAAAAGATTAAATACCGTTTGGAATGTAAAAGTAGTGTTTAATTTTTAAAAATTAAGCACTACTTTTACATTCCAAACGATATTTATAGAAAATTCCGTGGTTCATGCGAATTACTGATTATTTTTGCAAAGTAAAATGATAAAAAATGGGCACAATTATGACAAAAAATGTAAAGCTATTTTGCGTTTAACCAGTGCACTCACCATTTACAATTGGATGGACATAATGTCACTTTAAATTAAAATGAAAACTAGTCGTATCTTACATACGTTTGTGGACAATTTAGAAATGCATTTGTGCCTATGTTTTTGTTTAACTGAATTTTATGGTTTAGTTTTTGTTTAACTGAATTTTATGGTTTTATAGCATAAATATAACGCTCCAATGAAGATTTATCAATATTGTAAGTTCCAAAAAGCATTATTTGTAAAGATATTACCGAATTTACATTTCATGTTAAAGGGAGGTAATTAGAAATTTATTTTCTATAAAGTCTAAGTCAATTGTTTCAATAATAAATTAATGCATATATTTTAATGATTACACATAATGAGGACAAATATTTGCAGAACATATTTTACATATTCTCCGATGTTCTAAAATTGTTTTAGAAGCATAATATTTAAATATTTGCTACACAGATTATGTATACATATGTATTATGTACATGTTCAACTGAATATACATTATGTTTAATTCTTATTATACAAAATGAAGAAAAGTCACAACTATTTCACATTTAATTTTATTTGTGGGTCTTTTGTGAAAGGCTCTTGACACAAGATATACACTATACAACAGTATGGAGCAAAATAAATGGAAATAACGTCTCCAGGGTCAGAGCCATACTTGGGTCACGACCATGTTTCTTCATATGACACCAGTACTGGTTTGTTCCAGGAAGCGGACTGGATAGTGATTAATATAAGTTGCAAGAACTTGTTTCGCAACCAACCGAGCTTAAATAAATATGTTTAAACTAAGATATGGGAAGAACGTTACAAATAAATTGTGCAATCCTTGATAATTATAAGACTTAATCTGCCGCATCGCCATTTTTGTCACAGGGCTGCGCCCGTCGTGTGCATGATTTTAAAAGTCATAAGTACTACATATACATCATCTAAATCAAAGACCTTATGCATTACCTTCGGTAAACACAGCTGCACCCCTTGTATGAAAGACAGCTGCACACTTCGTCGTATGAGTTATAATAATTTCTACATTAGTTTCTACTAATATACTATAAAAACGCTCTGTTATATGCAATAGAATGATTAATTGTTGTGTTACATGTAACAATAGTGACTAACGCATTAATATTACTAGCATATTTGTATACAAAATGTTACAATTAAACTGGTCGAGTAAGTTGTACATAAATATCCTGAAAAGATATTATATAAAGCTTCGTTGACTGGCAAAACATGTATGGTTTAACATCATTTGTTAAGTAGCAGTATTTGAGATATTATAAAAACAAGTTTGCTTACAACCTAGACATCATTTAACATGTTAAATACATTTCATCCCACACAGCACGCGGTGAAAGGCAAGCAGTCTTATGAAAATGTTATTTGGCTCATATTCAACAATTAAGTAAACTGCATTCTTATATAAATGATAACAAATATATTTACCTCGGACGAAGGGCTCAGATAGCTTGATAGGTAGGTTCGTATGAAAATACTGTACGTATTCTTGTTGTCAGCATTGACAGAAAGATGGCTTACAGATAAAAAAAAACACAATTGTTCAGCATTACAATATACCAAAGTTTTTGCTCGCACCATTTTTAAGCCGAAATCATTCAAAAAATTTATAAGGTGAAAACGTTAACAAAATAATAAACTGAACAATTCAAAGAAGTGCTGAAATGTGTATCATTTAAGCTGTTGCCTCCAGATGAGCCAAAGATATTTCCAGAAAATTAAACTTGAGAAAAATGACTTGCACTAAGATGTTTAGAAATGTCAAGAGATTTATTATTCAAGTAATAATGTGAATGTTTTTGTGCGATTAATGGTCGATTTTGTAATAATATGCACCTTTGTGAGATAATATGCACCATATTTCTATTGCATGACTAACGCAGTTAGAGCTATTTTTGCATATTTTGACCTCTTGTTGGTGATTAACATGGAATGTATGTGCCGTTTGCAATGTGTAAATAATTTTATTTCACTTCACAATATTTTACTTTTATTACATCTTCAAAATAAAAATGCATGCTGCTTTAATACTTTGTCTTTTATCTATGCCAAAAATGTTTGACAGTTTGACAAACAGTTCTTTAATCCACCTATTGACTGTAATATCATACATATATGTCTACATTTTATGGTCTTAATCTTTTGTTACGTCAAAATGTACGCAAATTACATGTCTTTTAAGAGACTTGGCGGTTATAAGACCAATTTTACTTGACCTTTAATAGGGAACGCAGCTTCCCATACATAGTTTATTCATTTATTTATTTATTTATTTATTTATTTATTTATTTATTTATTTATTTATTTATTTATTTATATTAGACATATTCTGTAAGAATTTCATATATTTCAATTAATTTCTGTGATTAAGATATTTTGCTGAATGCATGATGAGCATAATGTATTCTTCTTCTTTTTTTAAAGCACTGTAATCGATGATAAAAAATATTTTAAATATTAAAGCATTAAAAGTATGAACTTACAATATTCCAAAAGCATGAGTTTTTGACAACATTTGATTTAATTTATTACAATAAGAGAATGAAAGTTATGTTACTTTAGTTTTTTTACCAGAATATTTGAGAATCTTCAAACATAACTATATAACTAACGTTATTAAAGTACAAACATTATTTACCAAAAGAAAAACAAAAAATACATTATAACGTTTAAAATGTTGTCCTCGAAATGATGACGTCAAATTTGGTGGGCATTAAGGAAGGTGAAGTAATGTTTGTATAATATACATATATATTTAGATGAATGTACTCATGAACGGACACACCTTGTCTTAATTTCCTGTTTTAGAAAATATCCATTATAGTGGACAATGTGTTTTTATATTGTTCGCATATTTGTCCTCTTTCGAAATATTCTATTTTTAGCAATTAAGGTCAGTAGAATAATCATGTTTCGCCCCAGGGTTCGTTCGTAATTATCTTTCGCCTGATACAGAGCCAGGTATGTACGGGTGACAAATGATAATCTTTCGGCAATTTAGCTTGTACTTCGCACTGAAAATGTACAAGTAATTTATTACATCTTAAGCCATTCAACAAGCAAATAAGCTATAAGCACAGGAGGCTAGGTTTAGGTCAGTTTTGCGTGTTGTCTAGGACAAAAATGAAAACTGGGCGTTTACTTATATCATTGGTCTCCAGTTTTAGATAATGACCACCACTTAATCTGAGGGTGAATAATTCATAAAAATACATATTCCCCCACGTGAAGGAAGGTTCTGAATATTAATATATAATACGAAACAGGACAGTTCCTGAGTGGTGTGTGAGAATAAAAAAGGAGAAAATAGATACAAAAAAATAACAAATTATTATTGAAGGTAAATATTTATTTTTTTCTTTTGTTTGATAGTATTAATATGATATTAATTTTATACATATACTAAGATAACTTTCAGAAATATTCTGATATAGATTAAATGAATTCTTGCAACGTGAATTTTAAAATACGTATTTTTAGGATTACATGCGACAAATATAACAATTTCCACAGCTGGTTTAAAATTATTGCGCAGTAAAAATGGCCTGAAAAAAGTTCGTCATTTTTGTTTCGGCCGATGAGAATATATTTAATTTTTTTTTTTTATATTGTAACACAAAATTTTTAACATCTATTTAGAATTTCTTCAGAGTTATGTTATGCGCCCCACCACATTCCCCGCCAAAAGCTGTGTGTTTCTATGATATTAAGCAGCACTGCGCTTAGTGGTATTAGTGATTGGTGTTTCTAAATTTCACGATTCGGTAATAAAAATGAATGTTTTAATCTTTTAATAATAAATTGACACCAATAACCAAATATAGTATGTTTGCAATGTGCTACATTGTAGCTATAACCATCCTTATATTAGTATAGCTCTAAAAAATATTGTTTTTGTTAACTTTTTTATCTGTTATGATTTTGTCTTCATTTTTTGAAAATGAAATTTATATGTGTTTGAAATGATAAAAATGTAAACACGCCACTTTGTATTGATATATTTTCTCTATATACACGTATATTCTTCATATTTCTTTCTTTACTCCGATCACTACCTGAAAATTCATTTTGTGAAGTTCCCAATGCTTTTAGAAACAGAATGATTTTTCATCACCATTATCTAAAATGATCATTTATCTAATTCGTTGTCAAACAATAACAACAATAAACAACAATAAATAGCATAAAATGAAATTTCACTACCAACAAGATTAATGTGAAATTTAAGCAGATAAAATAAAAAATGAACGCCGTATACAACGACAAGATCGTACAGTTTTGCGATGATCTAGCAGCATGCCTCCAAATTCATGCTTATTTTCAGGAAAATTTTGATAAATGCTTTTAAAAGTGAAATTTTGTGAAGTGAACAAAGAAAATAATATATACACTGCATACAACACTTAAGATCCTCTTGAATAACCACACAAAGTTCAAAAAAGTAACTCAGTAGAAATATGGAGATAAATACATGTACTGCAAAGTAGTCATTAATTGCGCATAACATGTAAATTATTTTTTGAATATATTTTTTCTTAAAATGTAAGGGTTTTTTTTTTCTTCTTTGATTTTCTTGAAATATTTTGGTACAATTGGAGGCATACAGCTTTGATGGCTTATCTAGTTCTGTGTAAAATATCAACACTTAAATTACCCGGCCTTAATCTGTTAAATTTGTGTAATGGATTTGCCCGCTTTTGAATTTGAAACAGGCCATTCAAAGTTGAAGGGATTTCAATATCAAATATAAAATGACTCTCCAAAGTATAGACTTGAGCTGCGTTTCCTAGAATGTCCTTAGTCTAAAATCATAAGACAAAAATTGAGACAATTTTGCATTTCATAGAAAATGTTCTAACTTATGACCTCTTTTAATTTCTGAATAGCTATGCTAATGGGCATTTACACATTGCCAATAAAAGGGTCTGTCATCGTATTTCTTAACCTTTCTCAGGAGAATGGAATTATTTATATAGCTACAGTATTTAACTGAAGATTAGAATGTTTATTGAAACGGTCTTAAGTTAGACCTAAAGTTAGTTTATGTCCTAGGACTTAGGATACACTTAGGACTTTTCATGAAACGCAACCCAGACTATTACCACTTCCGGTTCCGTCAGGTAAAGCGCTAAGCATGTTATATAGATATAACGCTGTTAATGTCTTCAAAACCTCTGATCTGATTTGAATTAAAATAAGTTATAAGTTCCATTTTATTTGACTCCACGCACTATTTACGCGTTCCGTTTGGAGGCACACATATATTATAAGGACCATACGCCGCTGTTCTACGAATGACACAAAGGTGTTACATTAAATGCTCAATGATAAAATTAGTACATGTTTCTAAATTCTTTAACGCCATATTTCTAAGTTGAATTCTATTTAAGCCTGTGCGTTATGGCGAGGTTGATTTTATGTCCATGAACAAGCCCGGTAAAACTAAGCCTGTAACATTTTCAATTCTATAGTATCGGAGCGTTCTTTAATGTTTTCATTTTATCTATTTTAAAAACAAACATTTTTCATAAATGCTGAATTCAGATTTAAATCAAAAGCAAACAAAAATATATCGTTATTATTATTGCAGGTACAGAACATAAAGATGAAGTTTTCGGTAATGATTCTACTGCTTTCGCTTTCGATAACTGGTAAGAAAATATTTTGTCTTATTATTTATATTTCTAGTAATATATTGCATGCACTTAGTTTAATATCTATCTATCTTTCTTACTGTATGGTCGACTCTGCCTTATTTTTCAGTGGCATGTACACGTGGATTTCAAAAAAGCATTAAATAAACGAATGGTTAGGTCTAAAGTTTAACAATAGCTTCTTTTCGATAATAATTATACAAATACCCTTTTTTATCTTTTTTTCTCTCGCAACAAAAATTGAAATCATGGGGCAAATAGCCAAATACACATACATATATAAGTTTATACATGTATATTTAAGTTCATAGAATGTAAATATATGTAACAGTTCTTATGCCTGAAATAAATGTCGTTTAACTACAAATTAATAGTTTTACAGTTGCAAACAAAAAAAATTGTATTTAACAAATGAAAACAAGATCAACTGCGTCACAATTTAATCGAAACAAACGTTAAGTATTCGCATGTAGTCAAATTATATTCTAACTGGAAAAAAAACCTGTTCTGAACCATTAACAATATCACTTAAAGGAGTGACATTTGCCGACCAACGGTATTTTGACTGTTGTATTGTAAATAAATAGACTTTACACAAATTTGTCCGATGGCCAAAAATAATTATTCATTTTAATATATTTTCTTACACCGACTAAACAACATCAAAACAACAACACCAAACTACGCATTAACACAATGATTTATATTAATTACTTGAAAAATAAGCGCAAAATTGTCACAAGAAGAAGTGCAATGTTTTACCATTAATCATGGATAACAGATACATTTTAAAAAGTACATACGAGGTTCACTGTAACATAAAATTATGCTTTGAAAAAAAAACGTAACATAAAACATAAAAACCCACATAAAAACGAAACAAAAACTTAAAGAATGTCTTACGCAAAATATGCGCATGAAGTTTTTTTTCTTCTTTAAAAAAAGATAATTTATCACAAAGCAGTCAAGCGCTTAAGTTATACGGGCATGAACTACAACAAATGGTCAAAGCCATCGTAAGCTATTGGGTTACTGACCGATGTTTATATGTCTTTTACGTAAAGAAGACGAAACAACCTTGAACCCTGAAGTAAACCTGGTCTTGGCAGAAAGACTAAACTAGCTATTTACATATGAATGATAAGTACTTTCTTTACAAAGCATAGTTTTGGGGAAAAAACTAGATTTGTGTTGGAATGATCTTATGAACATGCTGATGGGGAAATGTTTGATTGTAGAAATTTTGGTTCCCTTTGATGAAGTTTGTGTTTACTTGTACAGCTACTACCTAAGTTGATTTCAATATTAAAATGCATTGCATATTTAATAATAGAAATGTAGAGCAATAACTTTTATTTAGTTGTTTGACTTTCTTACCAAGGGATTCAACACCATTTCTTTTTCTTTCATTGATAATCAAAGTATAAATTGTTCATGTGTAGTGACTACTGTACCTCACTCGTTAATTGAGCATATTTATATTCATTTAGTTTCTAAACTAACAATGGAACTTACGTCATGTTTCGGATTTTGTTACCATAGCTAAAATATTTCTGTTTGTATCATTTACATTGTAAACTATTGCATATTTCAGTTTATGTAGACGCATACAGTGTTGAGAAGGCGGTAGCATCTAGTCAGGCGAATAAGGCAGTCAATGCTGTTATTGCTGCATTAAATGCCAAAGATGATTCAAGCAGCTCGGATGATGACGATAGCAGTAGTGAGGAAAATGAAGATTTTACTCCACTCGGCCAAGTAGGTGCAAAGAAAAAGAAAGCGGATGATTCTGACTCCGATTCTAGTGAAGAGGTCGAACTAAATGAACTGATTGAGGAATTCGCAGACATGTTTAATGAAGCCGGAGATATTGATTGGAGTGAACTAGGCATTGACGATTTTGAAATGTTAGGAAATGAATTTGACCTCGATGGTGGTTTACTGTGGCAAACAGCGCAAGCTGGTCAAGGTATCTTCGGTGGTGGCGCCCATGCAGGTGCAGGTGCCATTGGTACTGGTGCAGGTGCCGTTGGTACTGGTGCGGGTGCTGGTGTGGGTCTTGGAGGATCGTGGGCTGGTGGAAGTGGACAATTTGGAGGTTCAGCTTCTGGTACTGCAGGTTCTGGTCAATGGAATGGAAAATACGGCTATGGTACTTCCGGTCAGGGTTCTTCAACTAGCGGAGCTGGTCAGAGCTCATCTGGCCAAAGTTCATCAAGCGGAGGAGGTCAAGGGTCATGGACTGGATCGGGAAGCGCTGGTCAGGGTATGTGGGGAGGTGCCGGCGGTTCATGGACTGGATCAGCTGGTCAGGGTATGTGGGGCGGTGCCGAAGGTGGAGCTGGTCAGGGTATGTGGGGCGGTGCCGGAGGTGGAGCTGGTCAGGGTATGTGGGGCGGTGCCGAAGGTGGAGCTGGTCAGGGTATGTGGGGCGGTGCCGAAGGTGGAGCTGGTCAGGGTATGTGGGGCGGTGCCGGAGGTGGAGCTGGTCAGGGTATGTGGGGCGGTGCCGGAGAAGGTTCTTGGACTGGTGGAGCAGGACAAGGTATGTGGGGCGGTGCCGGAGGTGGAGCTGGTCAGGGGATGTGGGGCGGTGCCGGAGGTGGAGCTGGTCAGGGTATGTGGGGCGGTGCCGGAGGAGGTTCTTGGACAGGAGGAGCAGGACAAGGTTCATGGACAGGAGGAGCTGGTCATGGTTCATGGACTGGTGGTGCCGGTCAAGGTGGAGCAGCCGGAAGCGGATCAAAATGGTGGATGTCAACTTCCGGTAAAAATGCTGCACTTCTCGAAAGATTAAGAGCTCTTTTACGCGCAAAGATTGCTGCTGGACAATGGAAGGAAGAGTGGAACCGACATTTTGGCAAAGCATTTACTTCCGGATTTGTCGACCGTGAAAAGCCGGGACACATTTTACAGACAGTCAAAGGAAAAATGGGTCATAATGAAATTGGAGGAGCGACAAGAGTTGTACTAGGGAGCGGTTCTTGGTCCCATCAGACAAAACCAGTAGAAACAGTCGCCCGAATGACAGCCAGAAGGTCCGGAAGTAGTTCCTCTGGAAATAATCAGCAGAGGACATCTTTAGCACAGACGCAAACAATTAACTGAGTATGCATTTATTCCTAAAAAATTATAATGTAATATATAAAAATGTTCTATGGTGATTTTAAAACGATAGTTTTCTTCTGTAATTTTGGGACAAAATAGCTGAATAGAGAAATACCGTGTCTCATGACGTTTTATCAAAACTTAGTTACAAAATTACCGGTGCAACATGGACTTAATTGCTGTGCGTATCATTTTCTGGACATTTTATTATTTATTATTTATGAACGAGTACTTGATTGCCACAAATCTTTCAATTTAGTATGATGTACTGAATCTTATATACTCACATGTAAGGAAAGATATTTTGTTATGATAAGTAGGTGTATTGTTATGAATATCTTTTAAATAAAGGATAAGAACGTTATGAGTTGGAGAAAAAAGACTGTACCCCTAAGGTGTACATGTATCAAAAAATCGTCATTGTTAAAAAATTTTGATGTTATGGTTATAAAAAACACTGATTTATTAAATGATACAATTAAATGATACATGCTTTTTGATTTTTTATGAATGCTGATAAGTAATATTTTCAGCTTCATAACATTAGAATTTGAAATTGTTAATCGAGTGGCGAATTTACGGAAGCAAATTATGACCATTTTATTTGACCTCCCACATATCATGTCTGGCGTTTATTGCCATTGAAGGAGCTCCACTGAGTTACAAAAGCCTTAAAACATTTTTTTTAACTTACATTGATCGATTTGTACATATTTGGCTATTTTTTTAAGAATTTAGGGAACACTTTAGTTTAATATCTCAATTTTCATTCTCAAACGTAATTTTACAAGTAGGAAACATTATGAATAACTTAAATACGCCTTCCTTTGATGTCTATAAAATAAGGCAAGTTTATTTAAAGTAACGTCTATATGCTTATTTATGATTTTAACTTTATAAAAAGTTTTGTTCTCAGACAAGCTTTACAGATACCATATATGCCAAAATTTATAGACTCGATTAATTACAAAAAAATATGCTAAGAAATCAAATCGCATAAATTAAACTAAGCTACAAGTTTCCTACTCAATCCGTACAGAAATATATCGTGTAATTCAAATATCTATAAAAAAAATATTGTTTTAACTAACCAAGACATTTTTTTAAAAGAAAACGAAGTAACCATCTAAATGTACTGATGTATTCCTCACGCCCCCTAGCACCGGCTTGAACGTTACTCAATTTTCAACACTTAAAGGTGATGGTATCAACGGTCCCTTAGGAACAGATCAGAAAAATATAACAAGACTTAAGCGTACAGCTTATCGACATACAATGCTTGCATACATATGAATCATAAATAAATAACAAAAATTTGCATTGTACCAATAGTATTTGAATTAAATTTATGGACATCGTGTTAATCTATTATGATAATTAATTGATTTTGCAGAATTTTTCACCATATATCTACTGCGTGACTAACCCAGTAAGCGCTTTTTTGATAGTTTGTGATTTATTAAGTAATTTACGTGGACTGAAGATGCCATTTGCAATGTGTAAACTACTTTCTTTGCTCAATTGCAAATACCGGTATATTACTTTTTAATACATTTGAAAACTTTTCATGAAAATCGTCGTGAATCAATGAACATACTGTTTTAAAATTTTCAAGAAAGCCGTCTGAATTTTGTCCTTTCTTTTTTCTTTTGGATTAAAATGTATTGATTCTAAAATAATTATACTGCCTAAGAACTACATCGTGGTACATGAAATCATATTGTGAAATTATAGTAAATGAAAAGCAGTAATAATGGAACATTTACTCAAACACAAGAATCTTTTCATATTTGAAACGATATAAATATTAATTTACAAAGCTCTATATTAATTTTCACTTTTCGATATAGATTATAATTTCAGTAAAATTTAATAATATTTTATTGCAACTATTCGAAGCGTATTTAATTATAATACAGATACAAAAGCTAACATACATGATAATGACAAAATCTAACATATATAATAATGACATACATGTATATTCCTCACTATTATTTTCATCTAATTAAAAGATCGGCGGACCTTAAACTTTCAATTTGCATACTATTACACAATTTAATACGTAATTTACCTTTACTTGTCAATTTTCCCGATACACTACCGAGTTGAGGAAGAGCCCGCGGATATCTCACGTCTCGTCTGCTAAGTACACTTCCGGTGTTACGGAGTGAATACGGGTATATATTCTCGTTCGCAGACGACAACAGTATCATATTCTTTGGATATAGATCATTCAAGTAAGTATTCAAATACAATTTTTCTCAGTTTTATTTATGAAAATTATAATTTCATATTTTATTTTAGTTTACTTTTTAAAATAAAATAAAAGTCAACAACAGAAGAACGGTAAGGTACATGTTTGTATAAAACCAGCTGAGTTGTTGAAACATGACAGATTTAGAATGTTTACTAAAATTACATTTGGATATTCATTAATGTACAAATATCGTACTCATTTCTTCTTTGTTTTGAACTAAAGTTTATTGGTGTAAATTTAAGATATAGCTCGTCCTCTTTCAATATTAGAAACGTTTGTGGCCTACATGAAATTCGTTATTAACTTGTTAAGATTGAGCAGGAATAACAAATAATTCATAATTGTTATAAATCATAAGTATATTTCATGACTAACTATAAATTAACAAGCTGTATAATATATGAATTCAAATTCTTTTTGTTACAGTCAACAACCGACAAGATGAAATCCCTGATCATTGTTGCTCTCGCCCTTGCTTGTGTTTTGGGTCTGGCTACAGCCAACTATGGTTATTACCCAGCAACTGGTGGCAGTGGCTTCGGAAACGGAGGAAGTAAGTTCAAGTTTCAAAAACGATTTTACAGCTCAAAACTATTTTTTGAATTTTACTGTCAACTTTAATAAACGTGCATTGTTTTGTAGATTTTAGCACTCTAACTATATATATTTGCACTGCAAAGTTTTTATTACAGTAGCCTATACCGTAACTATAAATGCACCATAATATTTCAACATTGACAATTTTGAAACTGAAATTAAACTTCAAATGCCGTCATAAAACCGAAAAAAACAGTTCTCGCACTATTTCAAAATGTCGTCTGCAAAAAATATTTTTTAATATATCTATTAATAGTATTTTGAGACTAAAATAAGGATTTATAACTTTAGAAACGGTCAATTAAACCGGAAAAGGCAGTTCTCGCGCTATTTGAAAATGTCGTCTGCAAAAAATTGTAATATTAATAGTTTAAATTTAGACCGAATATAATTGCTAAATTTAGATTTTTTTTTCTTTTTATTTCGTTGCTGAATCACTTGTAACTTTCCATCCTTTCATTTTATTTATTTGTTGTTTTTTCTACAGTTTTAGCTATAATCAACATTGACAATTTTGAATTTATACCTTCAGAAACGATCGATTCAACCTGCAAATGCAGTTCTCGAGCTATTTTGTAATGTCGTCTGCAAAAAAAATAAAATATTCAAATGGCATACTAATAGTTTAAATTTAGACCGAATGTGATTGCTAAATCTTTTTTATTACTTTGCTGAATCACTTGTAACTTTCCAGCCTTTCATTTTATTTATTTGTTATTTATTTCTTGTTGTTTTTTCTACAGTTCTGGCTATGATCGGATTCCTCTTCATCTTCCTCATCTTGTTCAGTAACAACAACACCAGCAGCAGCGGTACAATTACCATCACCAACGCTTCCGCTACTGGTTAAATCTGGTAAGTTAGCGTTCATTTTGCTCTAGTCCACTTCCGGTCCAACAGATTCGAAATAGCGAAATCTACTTGTTTCGTAAATTGTCTTTATTTCATAACGTTAAAATATGATTTTTATGATACTTATTACAAAAACTTTTGCGTTGTGAAAAAGGTATTAATTTATAGAGTTTTCTAGGCATATTTTTTTTTCAAAAATTGTGCTTAATAAATATTTAAAATATCTTTGAAAACTTGACATGTTACTAAATAACAGATGTAAAAGACCGAATAATCAAAGTATGAACACTTTCTAAATATATATATTTTATTTCAGAATAAAACAAACCGACCGCTTAAATATTATGACGTCATCCACCTGATGGAACATTGGAGGATTCTCATTGGCTCAGGGCAACTCTGTGATACTTGTTTTCTTGTTAAAGACCATGATTATTATTATTGTTATTATTTCAAATGCAGAAACGTTCCATTTCATAAATTAAAAAACAAAACATACCGTATCTTAAACTTTAGTGATAAAAAATATGTACAGAAAATAATGTACCAGAAACGTCTTTCAATGTATTAAGATTTCATACATTTCGTAATGTCTCATATTTAAAATGTTCATGTTGTTATCCTAGATTCATTTTCATTATCGTTTGTCTAACGGCTCTTGTTCAAATTGTTATTTAAAAAAAAAAGAGAAATAAACAATATATTATCATGTCAATAAGTCTTGGTATATATTTACTGCCTCCTGGTAACTTTTATTTCACTTCTTGTGTTTCCGGAATATAAACTGTTCACGTCCATAAATTTTGTGCAAAAAGATCGCCTGAAAATTCAGTCTTTTGTTTTTGCTGTCCAAGGCTGAACAGACTGCTTTGCATATCTCAAGAAAATAAGACTCCTAACTGCCAATCTCCTACGCAGTGATCTCCCCCTATGAGTAAAGAGAATGCCAAGGGAGGTAATCACTGTGAGGAGTTTGCCTAACGTAAATGGCGATTTCCTCCCTTTAACAGTCGATATCTCAATAAAAAGGCTAATGATGCTGATACAAAAGTCACTATCTGCTGCGCTTTGATTCTATTTCTATCTTCTGCAAAATGTCTTTCGATGTGACGCAACAGCAGCACGTTTGGGGGATTTACTTTCTGAGAAGAAATGATCACCGGTAACCGTATTGCTGTAATATCTCGTATATTTATATATCTCCAGTACCAAAGGGCGTAGGAGGTGTATATACTGAACCTTTTCTAGATGCAATTCCCTTTTCATCTAACGGGGCTCTTATTTCATGAAATGAAACAGTATAGTACGTTTCTGATTTCTCCGTAAGAGACGGAGGTTTTTTTTTCCATTTTTTTTATTCATTTCAATTTCTTTATATAACTGTATGAATTAATATAGAAAACTACTCTGAAGATTCGTGCACATTTCGTTATGAAATTTACTACTTTCGATATTCATGTTTGCTTCAAAACGTTCGCAACGGTTTTGGCATGCCATATGCTCTTACATTCTCGTTTGATTTGCAAGTTGGTTTGTATGCAATATCAAAGTAAATCACATATTTTCTACCGAAAATGCTTAGAACTCGACCTATTATTGAAGTAAGAGATCATTCGTGCATAACTTTGCCATCGCATGTCAGCAGCGCAGAGCTCAAAATTCCCTTCCGGACAACGTCTCTAACAACGGGACGTGTGCATTTAGCCACACACTTACGATTAACTTATTTTGTTAGTGATCGCACTGGACTTACATTTCAATACCATATTTGAGCCGTGCCATGACAAAACCAACATAATGCGTTTGCGACCAGCATGGATCCAGACCGTGCAGGCTGGTCTTGATCCATGCTGGTCGCAAATGCATTACGTTGGTTTTGTCATGACACGGCTCATATGGCTATTATTGGCAGTTTTTTGCCTAATCCGATGTTCTACTCAGACTTAAAAAAACACACGACAATAGCTCCCTTCTTGTGACAATGATTTGTGCCCCGATTGCAATGAATCTGTAAGTCATTTCTCTAAGCAGAAAAGATCTAAGCTGTTATACAAGACACAACATATAATTTTTGGCGAAGCATTTGTGCCACAGTGATCATTGTTTCACAACCATTATCATCCGTTCCTTGCAAAAATGTTCGCATCTAAATTTACGTTGAAATACACACGAAAACGCGATCATTTATAAGATACACTTTGTGACAGTCATTTAAGCTCGATTGTAATGAATCGCAAATATTCTTTACGCATGGGTATTAGCTTTCTAACAAGACATAGGCATATAATTGTCGGTGAATTATTACCGTCGCTGTGACTGTTGTTTCACCAACCAGTTGCAGTCGTACCTTTCGAAAAATGTGCATATCTTAATTTCCGTTACATTTGTGCAGAAAATGGAGTTGTCGAAAGTAATAGGAACAAGTACATTTTGGCAAGCCAAAATTCATATGTCTCAATAATTTTGTACCTTTGAACTAGAAGCATACTTCCTTACGTATTCATTATGCTATATATATTATGTTATCAGTGAATAAAAATGTCTAATTTTATAGTATCGATTATGACAAGTTATGAGAATGAATTATATGCATGATGATGATGATGATGATTGATGATGATTGATGATGATTGATGATGATTGATGATGATGATGATGATGATCAATTTACACAACTAATAATAAATTATCTCTGTCCAGTTATAAAAGGTATGATAATAAAACAGATAAAAAGCACATATGCTTCTAGTTCAAAGGTACAAAATAATTGCTTTCGCGAATTCATATGACAAAATTTTGTCGTCTGCACCTGTTTTTTTTTTTTTTTTTTTTTTTTTTTTTTGGAAATATAGTCAGAGACATATGAATTTTGGCTTGCCAAAATGTACTTGTTCCTATTACTTCGACAACTCCATTTTCTGCACAAATGTAACGGAAATTAAGATGTGCACATTTTCGAAAGGTACGGCTGCAACTGGTTGTGAAACAACAGTCACAGCGACGGCAATAATTCACCGATTATTATATGCCATGTCTTGTTAGAAAGCTAATACCCATGCGTTAAGAATATTTGCGATTTCTTACAATCGAGCTTAAATGACTGTCACAAAGTGTATCTTATAAATGATCGCGTTTTCGTGTGTATTTCAACGTAAATTTAGATGCGAACATTTTTGCAAGGAACGGATGATAATGGTTGTGAAACAATGATCACTGTGGCACAAATGCTTCGCCAAAAATTATATGTTGTGTCTTGTATAACAGCTTAGATCTTCTGCTTAGAGAATGACTACAATTCATTGCAATCGGGCACAAATCATTGTCACAAGAAGTGAGCTATTTCGTGTGTTTTTTAAGTCTGAGTAGAACATCGGATTAGGCAAAAACTGCCAATAATAGCCATATGAGCTGTGTCATGACAAAACCAACGTAATGCATTTGCGACCAGCATGGATCAAGACCAGCCTGCAAGGTCTGGATCCATGCTGGTCGCAAACGCATTATGTTGATTTTGTCATGTCACGGCTCAAATATGGTATTGAAATGTAAGTCCAGTGCGATCACTAACAAAATAAGTTAATCGTGTGTGGCCAAATGCACACGTCCCGTTGTTAGAGACGTTGTCCGGAAGGGAATTTTGAGCTCTGCGCTGCTGACATGCGATGGCAAAGTTATGCACGAATGATCTCTTACTTCAATAATAGGTCGAGTTCTAAGCATTTTCGGTAGAAAATATGTGATTTACTTTGATATTGCATACACACCAACTTGCAAATCAAACGAGAATGTAAGCGCATATGGCATGCCAAAACCGTTGCAAACGTTTTAAAGCAAACATGAATATCGAAAGTAGTAAATTTCATAAGGAAATGTGCACGAATATTCAGAGTAGTTTTCTATATTAATTCATACAGTTATATAAAGAAATTGAAATGAATAAAAAAAAATGAAAAAAAACTCCGTCTCTTACGGAGAAATCAGAAACGTACTATACTGTTTCATTTCATGAAATAAGAGCCCCGTTAGATGAACAGGGAATTGCTTCTAGAAAAGGTTCAGTATATACACCTCCTACGCCCTTTGGTACTGGAGATATATAAATATACGAGATATTACAGCAATACGGTTACCGGTGATCATTTCTTCTCAGAAAGTAAATCCCCCAAACGTGCTGCTGTTTCGTCACATCGAAAGACATTTTGCAGAAGATAGAAATAGAATCAAAGCGCAGCAGATAGTGACTTTTGTATCAGCATCATTAGCCTTTTTATTGAGATATCGACTGTTAAAGGGAGGAAATCGCCATTTACGTTAGGTTCTGAATGACCGTGGTCAACGGGAGATAAGCCAATTTGTTTTCACTTTCTTTCTAACTTGTTATTCCTGTGTGAATGCATAAAACTTGGGGAACACTTTATTCCAAAAGTTCAATGCTGATTCTTTTGGTGATTTGTCCGAGATATACTTCCTTACGTATTCATTATGCTATATATATTATGTTATCAGTGAATAAAAATGTCTAATTTTATAGTATCGATTATGACAAGTTATGCGGATGAATTATATGTATGATGATGATGATGATGATTGATGATGATTGATGATGATTGATGATGATGATGATGATAATCAATTTACACAACTAATAATAAATTATCTCTGTCCAGTTATAAAAGGTATGATAATAAAACAGATAAAAAGCACATATGCTTCTAGTTCAAAGGTACAAAATAATTGCTTTCGCGAATTCATATGACAAAATTTTGTCGTCTGCACCTGTTTTTTTTTTTTTTTTTTTTTTTTTTTTTTTTGAAATATAGTCAGAGACATATGAATTTTGGCTTGCCAAAATGTACTTGTTCCTATTACTTCGACAACTCCATTTTCTGCACAAATGTAACGGAAATTAAGATGTGCACATTTTCGAAAGGTACGACTGCAACTGGTTGTGAAACAACAGTCACAGCGACGGTAATAATTCACCGATTATTATATGCCATGTCTTGTTAGAAAGCTAACACCCATGCGTTAAGAATATTTGCGATTCCTTACAATCGAGCTTAAATGACTGTCACAAAGTGTATCTTATAAATGATCGCCGCATTTTCGTGTGTATTTCAACGTAAATTTAGATGCGAACATTTTTGCAAGGAACGGATGATAATGGTTGTGAAACAATGATCACTGTGGCACAAATGCTTCGCCAAAAATTATATGTTGTGTCTTGTATAACAGCTTAGATCTTCTGCTTAGAGAATGACTACAATTCATTGCAATCGGGCACAAATCATTGTCACAAGAAGTGAGCTATTTCGTGTTTTTTTAAGTCTGAGTAGAACATCGGATTAGGCAAAAACTGCCAATAATAGCCATATGAGCCGTGTCATGACAAAACCAACGTAATGCATTTGCGACCAGCATGGATCAAGACCAGCCTGCACGGTCTGGATCCATGCTGGTCGCAAACGCATTATGTTGGTTTTGTCATGGCACGGCTCAAATATGGTATTGAAATGTAAGTCCAGTGCGATCACTAACAAAATAAGTTAATCGTAAGTGTGTGGCTAAATGCACACGGTCCGTTGTTAGAGACGTTGTCCGGAAGGGAATTTTGAGCTCTGCGCTGCTGACATGCGATGGAAAAGTTATGCACGAATGATCTCTTACTTCAATAATAGGTCGAGTTCTAAGCATTTTCGGTAGAAAATATGTGATTTACTTTGATATTGCATACAAACCAACTTGCAAATCAAACGAGAATGTAAGAGCATATGGCATGCCAAAACCGTTGCGAACGTTTTGAAGCAAACATGAATATCGAAAGTAGTAAATTTCATAACGAAATGTGCACGAATCTTCAGAGTAGTTTTCTATATTAATTCATACAGTTATATAAAGAAATTGAAATGAATAAAAAAATGAAAAAAAAAACCTCCGTCTCTTACGGAGAAATCAGAAACGTACTATACTGTTTCATTTCATGAAATTAGAGCCCCGTTAGATGAACAGGGAATTGCTTCTAGAAAAGGTTCAGTATATACACCTCCTACGCCCTTTGGTACTGGAGATATATAAATATACGAGATATTACAGCAATACGGTTACCGGTGATCATTTCTTCTCAGAAAGTAAATCCCCCAAACGTGCTGCTGTTTCGTCACATCGAAAGACATTTCTGACGACCCAAACAAATAAAAAACCTAACAGATAGCAATAGTCCTTTGACCAATTTATTTCGTCATTTCAATAGTTACTGTATTTGTAAATAAGAAAAAACAAGCAATAATAAAATGAAATGCGTTTATCAAAAACTACTTAAATCTATATATGTATCTTAATTTTACGACCCCTTTTATGCTACTGTAATATTGTCAGGCACATATTTCAATAATCTCATCCTGAATTATGCCCGGCTCACTCCTAATAGCAGACATTGTAGATTTACATTCATTTACTGGTTTGGGAAAAGGGGATTCCACTGGTGGGGAAGGGGTGGAGTTTCCGAAAGGTTACTGGGCTGCAGTTGCAACGCTAAGGAAATGCTATGCTTTAAGGCTTCAGAGGGACGTTTGTTATACTTTTTTAGTTCATGAATGAGGTAAAAAAAACGTCAATGCAGGATTTATATAAATAAACAAATCTATACGTCAAGTAAAATATTTTCAACTTCAGCCGGACAACCAATAAATATCCTGTCCCATAGAATTGTTTAAGCATTAAGGAAAACGTTTAATGAAAGTTACCTGCCCGTTTCTCCAACACGCCCACTCTTGATAAGCAGCCCTCGCCCATGATTTCTGTCTAAGAGTATTTTTCGGAAAGCAGTCTTGCTTCTTGAATTATTATTTAAGCGCTGTGTACGGTGCTGTCATTAAATCATTTAAATGAGGAATCAACAGGAATAACAACAAAATCTCTCAAGTTGCGAAAATGTAATGTCATCGCATTCAGAAATGTTAACTTTTTCCCAATTTTCTTCTGAGTAGAAATTTATAATGGAATGTGAAATCTATCATATTCAGTGACTATATTCATGAAATAACATGAATTATGTCGTTTTCCCGTGCATTTTATTGCCTACAATAAGGCCAAATAGATTGAATAAGAAATATTTGGATATCCCTATGTAATAGTCGGAGAAGAAATCGTTTACGCATGTTTAATCTTCACCTTAAACAGAGAAAACTACCTGTGGTCTAAGTCAGATAGATCGCTCGTACCAGTTGGATGTGAGATTTATCAACTCGCTTCGCTCGTTGATAAATCTCACATCCAACTGGTACTCATGATCTATCCTATACAACCAACAGTAGATCTATATTTTCGCACGATTTGCACGTGCAATAACATTTAAGCAGGTCAATTATATACATGTGGTTTTCATTGTGATTTGAGAGAGGAGCAAAGAGATTATTGCAAAATTCGTGGGTAATTTGGGTAATTGCGCGTCCGAAATAAAAACGTATCTAGATTTAGTTAATGGAAAATGCCCTTCATATCGTACACTTGCCAGATGGGTATCAATGTTGAAGATAGGTGGAACTAATCGTTTTGTCTTACAATTGCACGCGAATTATCATATTTTGCATCCTAAATGTTCGTGTATATGTACCATAGCTTCTAGAAGTCTATGAAATAAATCATTTTAATAGAAGGCCGGCCATAATATTATATGCTTGCTACTACTCACTGTATTGGTAATTATATATATATTATTTTTATTTATTTTTTTATTTTTTTCATCTAGTGTCATTAATCAAATATGGTTGAATAAGAATTCAAAGCGACAGCATAAATGCACCTTACAGTCTGTTATAACAACAATATTATTTTAACCACGATGTATACATGTATAATTATGTTCCTGTCGCCTCCCTTAGAATAAGAACGCCGAGAAGCGTAAATGATAGATATGATACAGTGGACACGGTTATCTCCCTTTCATTCAGTTCAACCATTTGTACTGATTCGTTGTAATCGGAAGTGTATTTTATTATTTCATTCTTTCATAGATTATGTAAAGAAAATCAAGTTATGGTAAATGAGTGAACGTTAGAAAAACCGGTAAGTTTAAGAAAAAAATGAAATTTTGGCAAATTGGACATTAAAAAGAAATCAAATTGAACTTTCGATTTAACACTCCTAAAAAAAATACGTAGGGGTTTAATCCATGAGATTTATAGGTATGTCATCTGTCAAAGCTATTCTAAATAGCTATCCATCTGTTTATTTCATGCATCAAAGATATACACAGATTTTCCTGAATACTTATATTAGTAGATCTAGTACATGTAGGGACCTGGTGACAAGTATCCTTGGACAAAAGGAAACAAGCCAGCCTACTGTATGTAAGAACAAATCTATACATTTTCATTGATTGATTGATTGATTGATTTGTGTATATATATATGTCATAATACAAAACAGATTAAGACAATTTATCACAGATATATCTATCACATAGTTTTTAACACAGTAATTAATTGAAAAATAATAACTGTACATTCATAATTAAATCAAAGATCTTGTTGACTTCAAGACATTATATACATGATTCATGATGAATTTGTATCTCAAATACATAATAGGGTCATTACAATGTGAAAACAGCAGGTGATATTTTGTATGCTCAATTCATGATATAGGAGGACAGCTTATTATCTGAATGTCTCCCAGGGCAGGGATTGCAACAAGGATTTGATACTTTATAAATTACTTTATAAGTGACGGTCCCTACACTACCAAGACAATTAGAAGTGGTTGTTGTGCATACAGCTAAGCATTATAATCAACGATTATTTCTTAAGCACAATTTTCCTTTTAAGAGTTAATTAAACTAAAATTTTAATCTTCCATTTGGTCAAAAAAAAAACACTTATCATTTATCATTAAATTCATTAAGAAGTGCATCTTATTTTGTTGAACAATTTAAAATACACACTGAATTCAATTCAACTATTAAATTTAAGTACATGTATATCAAATGAAACTGAACTTAATATGTCTCTTTATCTATAGGTGTACCGCTAAACCATGGCCAAACCTGTCTTTAATATATGCGAATGGCCGGCATCTTTGTACAATAACAAGAAAAGACGATGGAATTATGGCACATTGGTAGTAACGGCAGAGGAAATAGTGTTCACCCAACAAAATAACAGTGGTAAAAATGATGAACTAATTTCAATACCATATGAGGATTTGATAGATGTAAGAAAATCTACAACTGGTCTTGTATTTGGAGCTATTTTTATCGTAACTAAAGAAAATGAGAAGATCTGGTTTTCATCTTTGCCTGATCGGGAAGGCGTTTATGGAACATTGAAACATTTCTGGCAAGCAAAGCTCTTTCAGAAAAGCAATAGCGCAATGAAAAATTCCAAAGGACAGAAGACAAGGATGGGGCAGAAATTGCTCGGAATTGTTAAAGACTCAGAGCAGACATTATCAAATGCTGCAGTTCAACTGTATGATCAAGGCAAACAGATAGATCATACTATGGATGTAATGGCCGACCTTCATAATGACCTTGACATTGCTGACAATCTTGTCAAGGACATTGATAGTTGGATTGGGAGATGGCGTTTACCATCCGAGTATAAAACTGTTGATCCAGTAGTTGTTAATAAGAGCGACATTCCAGAGGTTTTCGAATATGAAATACTGTTTACGAAGCTTGAAATAAGTCGGGCAAACACTAGACAGGTTGGGAGTTTAAGGATCTCTAACGATGGTTTGACCATTTTGAATATAAAAATGAAGACAGAGTTTCATTTTAGATGGGCTGATGTATCCAAGCTGCGTGTCGTGACACCGTGGGAATTGATGGTGATAAAATATCAGATTGGAAAGCCTGACCTAGTTTATGGTCTTGTCAGTGCTAATATGGTAGCTATTTTGAAATTACTGGATAACTGTGCTAAATACAAGCTTACATATGATACTCCACCCGAACCAATTCTTTGCACTAGACATCCACAGACCACCAGGGAGAAAGAGTCCTTATACACTACAGGTATGTAAATAGTAAAGTGTAACATGTGTGTTACAGTTGTAACTGTATAAGTGGTTAAATTAGCGACACAGAAATATTGGCGAATTTCGCGAATTGACAAAATCGCTAATATTTCCTTTAGCATATCAACCAAATTGTCATTAAATTCTACCTTTGCACAATTTACTAATATTTGCTTTGACACATGAAATGTCTGAAATTTTAAATTTGCTATCTTTTCAACACACAAGAATATCCACCTATACAGTCCTATTATAAACAGTAAATTGTTTGATTCCAATTTTCTGTCTACTGTAACCATAAAATTCTGGTACCAATTTTGTTATGCATGAATTAAATGAAGTAATTAAGGCAAAGAATAATTTACAGAATAGTAATAGGTATGAAAATAAACCCAGATATACAAGTCATGTTGTTTAATGAACAGAGACTTGTTTTGCCATTTATAATGTTTGAATTTACTCCTTATTTTTTATTATTTTATCTGTTCATAAGCTAAAGAATTTACAGTGGAAGCGTCTGTTTTATATCTAGTTCATACAGATCTGGGGCTGAAATTGGGCCCCATTCACAGTATTTAAAGCTATTTATCACAATTTTTAATAAAAACTCGCAATTTGTTTTAACTTCTAAATAACAAACAGAACAATATTTTAAAAGTTAAAAGAAATCTGTTAAATGTTATTTCACCTTTTTATTTTGCTCTTTTTCTTAGAAGACAAAGACAATGTAACATCAGGTGCTAGAGGGTCTGTTGACTCTACAAGATTAATGGGCGTGGACCAGATTCAAATTGACCAATCACAACAAGTTGTGAGTGAAAGTGAGGCTGACGAAATCAGCAGAACATTGGGTGGACTGAAATCATTGGATCTGGCAGTTCACTAATAGGAGTCCATCCCATTACAAAAATGATAATCTGGGAGTTCGATGTGAGCAGTGTAACGTGGGGTAGAGCAGGGGCCTGAGATCAAGGAGGACTGGAAAGAGAGAGCAAAGTAAAAGAGAGAATAAATAAAAAAATGACCACCTCCAGCTCTTCGCCAGCGAACCACCCCAATCACTTTCCGGCGACACTTTGCAGACCAATCTTCACACGTGTCTTACACACCCATACGGCCAAACACGTCGCGAACCCAGCACCCCCCCTTTACACCTTACTTATTCAACACTACTTGACTCTCTTTTCATGTTAGTACTTATACAATTAAATATATAACAGGTGGGGCTTTTCCATTAAAAATTACTTCAATAAGTCAAACTATACCTATTGGAACATAACTTTTGAGATAGAAGGAAAATATTCATATCTTTTGAACATTTCAAGTGCAGCATACTTGACTAGTTTATTTAAGAAATCTAGCAGGTTTTGTTAAAATTTTTAAAGATTTTAATTTATGTTTGCTGGAAGGTTAGTGAGAGACCTTCCATTACTAATAAGTCAAACACAAATTAGATACTTAGCTTTATAAAATTAAAAAGTGCAAATTATCATTTTTGACAATAATCATGTGAAATTTGCAAGTCACAAAAAAAAATCGTTATACAGTACTCTTTTGAGCAGGGTCTTTCAAATAGATGATGATATTGAATAATTGTACTCACTATGACTATGTTCTTTATATTTTTTGATGTTACGTCATGTAAAAATAGATTTTGATTTTTAAACAACATTTTTCACACCATTATGGCATCCGTTCTTTCAAATGCTTAAGCAAAGTCACATGAACAACCGAGACATCTTTTTTCCATTCATTTTGTAAATTGGTCCATCTCCAGACCATTTTATTTGAAAGACAGTTTTGAGTTATATTAAGCTAACATACATGTAACCTTAATGATTTTCATTTATTGACAGGTTTAATATTCATTGGCCGTTTAATTTTCATTGGCGGGTTTGCATTAATTTGAATCTTCAATAATAATTGCATATTTGAATAATTTGTTCATTATTTATTTATTTTCTTATTTAATATAATAGCTGCATGAATTTTAACATATCAAGTTTGAAATAACTTAATACAAACATTGTAGCATATTTTGTTCTTTGGTTTATGGAATAAATGTTTATAAATACTATGTATTGTTCATTCTTATATGACTTTATGCTTACTGAATCATTTTAGTAGTATGTTCTCTTATAATGAACAACTAATTATATGTGTTCCTGGTGCCATAAACAATATGCACGGCTAACACATTGAAGAATTATTCATTGAACATACATTGATTTGATGAAACAACATTTCATCACCGTAATGCAGTAACAGGTTAACTCATTAATACTTCAATGGGAGTTACTGCACTAAGGTGACGATTTAAAACTATTCAACTCGAGAAAAAGCCCAAGTCGACACCTAAATGTGCAAAAACTAAAACAGATGCCAACATATATAAATATATACACATTATAATTAACAGAGAATCTCCACAGCTAATAAAGAACAAAAAGAATAGTGAGAAAACACAAGAAACCTCTAGACATCTTTTTATTTCTGAAACAGTATCTCCCTTAGCACAAAATTAATGGTTTTAATTGTTTAAGAAATGAAACAGTAACTATTATATGCCAAGAGGAAATTGGACAATATAGAAGCACAAATGAAAAAAATTATCTCCCTGGGAACCATAGATTTCCTTTTTTAAGACAACAAAATTAATCAAGTATGATCATTATACAACATTTAATTCAATTGGCAATAATCCAAGAAATTTTGGTAAACTTCCAAATTTATCAACATTTTGATCAAGTCACATGACTTTAAGTTATTACGAAGTGTACTTTGTCTGAATTTTGGTACTGATGTTGTTTTATCCTGATGAAGTTAATTGTTTGACTGAAACTAGTTGATGAATAAAGTAGCCTTATCCTATGCAGATGTTCTTGATGTATTGTTTTACATACCTTCCTTGTTTACTTAGTGTCGTTATAAACAAGAGTTGTTGGAAGGACAGCATGCTTGACTATTTTCAGTGCTTGGTAACTTAAAACAAGAGCCTGGATAATGTAGAAATTTCTAATTTCAATAAGGTCCATAATTCTGTCAAAATCCATGTTACAAGCTTTGTATAGTGACCTCCTAGTATGTTCTCAAGTAAGTGTGAAAAGTTTCAACCCATAACTTTTAGTTAAGTTTTTGAAGATACAAATTGCATGCAAAAACTCAACGTGTGATGCCTACGCCTAGGCAAGTTCAATATCTCTCCCTATTCTCTAAAAAGTTGAGTTAAAAATTGACATCTGTGTTGTTCTTACTTTTTATTTTATTGTTATCAACTTCAACTATGGCCATAACATCTAAATTCTAAGCTTAAGCCTGCTATGTTTATTTTGTATTAAAAAATACACCAACAAAATTAAGGTCATATGGTGGTGAAACAGGAAAGACGATATTGGCTGACCTCAGGTGTAACCAACTTAAAGCAACACCAGGGGTCAAAACTTATGCCTGGTATCCAGGCTCTTGTTTTACTATCAAGCATTATACATAATACTTTCTTGAGTACATATTGTTATAGTGATATATGACCTTTCCAACCTTGACTCTATGGGTCATTGGGTTAAATGTTTTCACTTCTGATTCTTGCAATTCCAAAAATTATAGGGAGATAGCCAAGAAAACTTTTATTAAATATGTATGGAAAAGGGGAACATAACAAAACAAAATATTTTTTTCTTAAACATCAATCTTTACTTACTTATAAATACATGTATATTACAAACTAGAACTCCGCGAGTCGGATGTGTCGCCTTGTGAACAATATAGTTTAAGAAAAATGGCAAAGACAAAAATGAAATTTGAAAATCAACAAAGGGCAATAACTCAAAAAATAAGAAATGCAGATCAGCAGTTTCTGTGCACTGCACTTCTTATCAATAAAATCTATCATCCTATTAGTTTCAAGTCTAAAGATTCATAATTTATGAGAAAATGGCCTGGACAAAAAATAAAGTATGAAAATTAATAAAGGGCAATAACTTAAAAAATAAGAAATGCAGATCAGCAGTTTCAGTGCACTGCACTTCTTATCAGTTAGATCTATCATCCTATTAAGTTTCAAGTATAAAGCTTTTATAATTTATGAGAAATGGCCTGGACAAAAATAAAGTATGAAAATAAACAAAGGGCAATAACTCAAAAAATAAGAAATGCAGAGTACCAGTTCTTGGGCACTGCACTTCTTCTTAATGAGATCTTTTGTTTGTTTGTTTGTTTCATTTTATGCCTTTTCCCAACAGTATTTCAGTCATATAGGCGGGTAGTTTCCTAACCATCGTTCCTGGAGAGTTACACCAGTACTAGACTACCTTCCTCCGTGCTAAACTACCAAAGCATCTCCCGGGGATCGAACCCACGCCAGAGAGGTAACTGGATTAGAAGTCATCGACTCTAACCCCTCGACCACGGAGGCGGTTTTAATGAAGATCTATCATCCTATGAAGTTGAATGTCCATAGCTTTTATACTTTAGGAGAAAGGCCTGGACAAAATAAAGTATGAAAATTAACAAAGGGCAATAACTCAAAAAAATAAGAATGCAGTAGCACCAGTTCTTTGTGCACTGCACTTCTTCTTAATGAGATCTTCATCCTATGAAGTTTCAAGTCCAAAGCTTTTAATTAATGAAGAAATGAGCCAGGACAAAAATTAAAGTATGAAAATTAACCCAAAGGGCACAATAACTCAAAAAATAAAAAATGCAGAGCACCAGTTCTTTGGCACTGCACTTTTCCTTAATGAGATCTATCATTCCTATGAAGTTTCATGTCCATAGCTTTTATACTTTAGGAGAAAAAGCCTGGACAAAAATAAAGTATGAAAATTAACAAAGGGCAATAACTCAAAAAATAAGAAATTCAGAGTACCAGTTCTTGTGCACTGCACTTTTCTTAATGAGATCTATCATCCTATGAAGTTTCAAGTCCATAGCTTTTATACTTTAGGAGAAATGGCCTGGACAAAAATAAAGTATGAAAATTAACAAAGGGCAATAACTCAAAAAATAAGAAATGCAGAGTACCAGTTCTTGTGCACTGCACTTCTTCTAATGAGATCTATCATCTATGAAAGTTTCAAGTCCATAATTTTTTACACTTAAGAGAAATGGCACTGGACAAAAAATAAAGTATAGAAAAATTAACAAAGGCAATAACTCAAAATAAGAAGAAAAGAGTACTGTTCTTGTGCACTGCACTTCGGTCATTATGAGAAGCATGCATACCAAGTTTGAAGTCAATCAGACTTATAATGACTGACTTATGCTCCGGACAAGCTTTAGGGGACGCCGACACCGACGACGACACCGACAACGACGCCGACAACGACGCCGCCGACAAAAGTAACCCCTATATGTCGCCTTTTTCAAGGCGACACAAAAAAAGTATATGTCAACATCTTCAAGATAAAAATAACAAAAAAAAAATCACAATTCTTTCAGGTGCAACTTGTTGAAAACAAACAGAGGTGTATATCCGAGTCTCACATGAATATGTTTGTGGTCTCAGTCTATGCAGGGACTCAATGAGATGATCATGATTTAAAGATCACAACCTCCGTCACACAGACCTCTGGTATTATTAAGTAATTTTGTTCGAATAAATCTGTACCATATCTCGTATGTGACGAGTGTAATAATTGTTAGCGAGGGATTTTTTAATTGGGTTTTACATCACATGAAAAAGGTCATATGGTGACTTTCCAGCTTTACTGGTGGAGGAAGACCTCTGGTGTCTATCTGTGTTTTATTTCAGACACAAACAAGAACCTGAGTAGAGCCAGCTAACTTGATAGCTTCCTAACATTAAAGAATCCACAGTCCCTGTAGAGATTTGAACCTACAGTGCTGAGGTGCCAGTTGTTTTAATGTAAACAACCTTAACCACTCAGCAAAGGATGCTTAGTAAGGATTCACGGTCATATTTCACTATACATGTATTTAAACATGATTATTTCACGGGCATATTTCACTATATTTAAACATGATTATTTCACGGTCATATTTCACTATATTTAAACATGATTATTTCACGGTCATATTTCACTGTATTTAAACATGATTATTTCACGGTCATATTTCACTATATTTAAACATGATTATTTCATGGTCATATTTCACTATTATATTTAAACATTATCATTTCATGGTAATATTTTACTATATTTAAACATCATTATTTCACAGTTTTTAAGATTTCAAGATTTTATATAAATTTGAAAGGTACTTGTTAAAGTGAAATTATGCCAATCCAAGTGTATAAATGATTGAACAGGTGAAAGTCAAAATAAGTTTTCATTTTGCCACAATTCCTTTTAATAAAAACAATTATTTCAAATTAACAATAAACAATGCATGGATCCAAACAAATTTTTCGTAAATATCCATTAGAATTCACCTGTAATGTTCACTTCATAAAAAGAGTGGGGCAGTCTTTTTATATTTTAGGCAGCTTTTAAATTTTATCCTAAATATTTTCCAATATGAACTGTTGGTCAATCACCATTTTAACAGTCAATCTTTTGAAATATAAAGTCAGTTCAGCTTAACTTGACTATTAAATGAGCATAATGTCACTTTAAATGAAACAAGGAGACTGATATGTTTTCAAAACCATAAAAATTGTTAAACAGAATACTATAGAAACAACAAAAACTAGATCTGAATGTAAATACATCGTTACAAATACTGTGAAAACAATATAGCTTGCATGTTTATGTAAAAATATGGTACAATTTCATCATATATAATAAAGTGAATCAATAAAAATCTGCTTACAGACAAAGGTATCCTGCTTTTATTTAAAGTAATTTGTCACTAACTTTAATTGATACAATTCAATTCTTTAACTCTTACCATACTAGGCGTCTTAAATGGACTTGTCCATAAAACCAGTCATTTTTAAGAAAAAAAACTGACGAGACAAAAATATTTCAAGACTGTTGAGTGAAGAAAGAGCTTTATATTTATAAACTAAGTTTTCCTCTACTGAAAACACAACATTTATCAGAGGGCAGGACAGTAAACAAAGCCACTAGGCTAAACTGTTGAAAAATTACAATTTATTTTTTTAGGCAGGAATTGCGGACAACATAAATTGATAAATCCTAAACTAACTAAATTGTTTAAGTTTTAGTCTGTTCAATATCTACAGATACTGTTTCATTGTTTAAAGAATTATCGTCTTCAGCCTCCTCTAGTTTTGTCTGCTGTTGTTGCCACATTTCATAGTAAGGTCCCTGCTTGACTAGAAGCTCATCATGCCTAAAAACAACAATGACGGAATTATTAAATAGAGAATATTGAATGAGTGTAGATTTAATAATTAATTCATTGAATGAGTTGAATAAAATACTATTTAGCCAGCCTCTGGCAAGCATTATATTGTTTAGTTCAATGAGTTTAATAATTTAAGTATTAAATCTATGTTAATATAATATACTATTTATCACATACCCAAAATAACAACTGTTTACAGTGAAAAATAAGAATTAGAACTGTTTACAGTGAAAAATAGTCATTTTTTCATTGACATGCATATAGTGTCACATAACATTTAGCGTATCTTAACACTATGTTTGTATAAGGCTAATGACGCACATCAAAATATATGCACAGTCAGGCAATACTGTAAGGGACTGTGAATATTTATCAAATAATTACTTTTAGGACCTTGTAATGGATATATCAGTTTAAAACAAATAACGTTTTATCACAATTTGAACATCAAACTAGCATAATTTATTGACAAATAAGGTAATACTGTTCAGTCACTGCTTAAAACTTACCTGCCAGGATTCCTGAACTTTACCTGTCAGGATTCTAAACTTAGTGCCTCACCCCATTCATATTTGCTGATTTTATTTGTTTAGATAATTTTCTGGTAAAAGGAAGGAATTAAGACCATGATATAGGACTTCTGAGGCTCTCTAGAACTATATAAAGGCACTATGAGGAGGTTTAAACTTCAAGAATGATTTATTTACTTACTGTGTTTATCCTGGCATCAAAATGGCCGACAAGAGTTGTCTACCTTGATTCAAAACTTTTAAATGCTTAAATTTCATAAACATATACAAATACTAACCATTTTACATGTAAGAACAATGAATTAATCTTTATTTACCTAAGACTTAAGTTAATTTCCAAATATTTAGCTGGCATTGCTGTATTTCATAAATATGTGATGACCGGTATGACCTCTAAGTTTGTCAGGAGGGAAAATTCAAATTCCTGGCATTTGGAATCTTTTTATATCAATAGTTCATTTTTCTAAGCTATAACCATGATTGTTTGGTCCAGATATTAAGTGCATCAAGTTAAGCATGTAATTCAAGTGTTTATTGCATATTTTGTTATTTGTTAACTTTGTTAATTTACATTTTCTAAATTATTCCTGTCAATATGGCTGCCATTTTAAGAAATTTCTGTCTTCCTGCCAGACTGCCAGGGTAATGGAATGTTATGATTGGTCAATTGTGGACAGTCCTGGCTATTTCAGAGTCTATATAAGTAGCCATGACAGGCTGTTTTCAGTTTGCATTTTGGCTTTAAATCCTGACAGTCGCGAAAACTAGTGACAAGAGCATTTTGTAATATTTTCATGGAAACTTTTATTGTTGAATCTAGCAAATTTAGTACTCTTCAGAGTTGAATAAAGAAATTGTGGAATTAAACTTTTTATCAATAAAAGTTGTTATTTGAACAGTTTTTGACTTAGCTTACAATTGGTGTCAGAATCAGTGGATTAAAAGAACTGTTTACATTTTTTACTGGAAGTGACCTTGAACTTGAATGATATCATTTAATACCAAAAAGGAATAAAACTACGCAAAAGTAAATTTACAGTAAGGAACAAAACAAAAAATGTCAGACCCTGAAATTCAAATAATGTTTGCAAGTACAGAAGAAGACAACAAATCAACTCCACATGCTGATATGAGACAAATAAGAATAATAAAACAAATTGCAGATAGTGAATTAGATAGAGGCGGTGACAGAAATGATAATAAACATCGATATCCAGCCCAAAGCCTGAGATATTTTGGAATACCTGTTTACATTAAACAACAGTCCTTTGAAGGCAAATCACCTAGGGATGTATCAAAAATCTACCACAGTCCCAACTTGGATAACAAAGCTAAAACATACTTAAGGACATAGCTGTTTATGCTAAAATTGTTAAAAGTTATGGTTACATTTGAAGTTAACTGTTGACTAAGTTATGACTGTTAAATAAAAGCACAAGAAGCTCCAGAAAGACATTAATATTCAATAATAGTGATTAATTATGTTTTGATACAATGGTTCAATAGGAATAATACAAAGTAGAGCATCAGAAAGAAATAAACAGTAATTCATTCAGCTTAAATACAGAAACAATGGTAATTAATAAACTATGGTTCTATGAAATTGGAACAATGTAAAGTAAAGCAAAGATTGGAATTAGCTGTAATACATAATTATACATGTACAATGGTTCAATGGGATTGATACTGAAATGACAATATTAATTAATGTGATGTTTTTGAAGTGAATCACAGAGCTCTGTGTGGTGTTGTTGAAATTCATAGTTGGAAATGGCCTGATCAACCATGTTTCACTATGTGGATTATGGTTATTTGCGAACTTTTTTTGCAATTATATATTGCATCGCTTTAACCATTGGAATTCAAAACCATTGACAGGCAATGGTTAGGAGTGAATTCCTGGTAAGTGGTTTCAGTATCTATCTCTTAAGTCTTTTGGAACTGTACTTGGAAATGATAATTAGTATTATCAGAGGAAATGGTTATCTCAATTTGCTGTAATGCTGTGAACAATACACTTTATCAAACATAATAATAAGGATATCTTTGGAATCAAGTAAAAAATTTAAGAAATTAAAAGTAACAATGAGTGAATGCTTATATGAATTACTAGACATATTTGTGACAGAGACATTGGAGAAATAATACAGATAAATACTTGATAAGGAGATATTCAGTTACCCACATCTGAGGAAGATTTATAAACAACTGCTATTTTCTTTAACTTAACATCCAAACAAAACTGTAAGAATGAAAAGACTTTTTCTAAACTTTAAAGCCTACAAGAATTCATTTAATAAGGAAATGATGCTGACATTGTATCCATGCTATTGACAACAAAGATGTTTCTACTAGTGGTGTCCTAACGTAAAAAAAATGTGACAGAGAGAATCAATCATACAGAAAAAAAAAATTAGAAAAACAGACAGAAAACATTTAAAAAGTATTTTATGTCTTTTAAGAGGGGGAGAGTGTAAGGGACTGTGAATATTTATCAAATAATTACTTTTAGGACCTTGTAATGGATATATCAGTTTAAAACAAATAACGTTTTATCACAATTTGAACATCAAACTAGCATAATTTATTGACAAATAAGGTAATACTGTTCAGTCACTGCTTAAAACTTACCTGCCAGGATTCCTGAACTTTACCTGTCAGGATTCCTAAACTTAGTGCCTCAGCCATTCATATTTGCTGATTTTATTTGTTTAGATAATTTTCTGGTAAAGGAAGGAATTAAGACCATGATATAGGACATTCTGAGGCTCTAGAACTATATAAGGCACTATGAGGAGGTTTAAACTTCAAGAAATGATTTATTTACTTACTGTGTTTATCCTGGCATCAAAATGGCCGACAAGAGTTGTCTACCTTGATTCAAAACTTTAAATGCTTAAATTTTCATAAACATATACAAATACTAACCATTTTACATGTAAGAACAATGAATGTAATCTTTATTTACCTAAGACTTAAGTTAATTTCCAAATATTTAGCTGGCATTGCTGTATTTCATAAATATGTTGATGACCGGTATGACCTCTAAGTTTGTCAGGAGGGAAAATTCAAATTCCTGGCACTTGGAATCTTTTTATATCAATAGTTCATTTTTCTAAGCTATAACCATGATTGTTTTGGTCCAGATATTAAGTGCATCAAGTTAAGCATGTAATTCAAGTGTTTATTGCATATTTTGTTATTTGTTAACTTTGTTAATTTACATTTTCTAAATTATTCCTGTCAATATGGCTGCCATTTTAAGAAATTTCTGTCTTTCCTGCCAGACTGCCAGGGTAAATGGAATGTTATGATTGGTCAATTGTGACAGTCCTGGCTATTTCAGAGTCTATATAAGTAGCCATGACAGGCTGTTTTCAGTTTGCATTTTGGCTTTAAATCCTGACAGTCGCGAAAACTAGTGACAAGAGCATTTTGTAATATTTTCATGGAAACTTTTATTGTTGAATCTAGCAAATTTAGTACTCTTCAGAGTTGAATAAAGAAATTGTGGAATTAAACTTTTTATCAATAAAAGTTGTTATTTGAACAGTTTTTGACTTAGCTTACAATACTGTTTTTACACAGTCACAAAAGCAGCACAGGACTGGTGTGTGATAAAATTATGTTTAATATGTTTGTTTTGTTTTTCTGGTTGTTACCCTGATTTTTATAGATTTTTTGGTAATAACTAGGTGATTAATGCACCTAACAGACTTTCCTGGATAACTTACCAGTAATAACAAATTACTCCTTAAGTGACTTACAGGTTATCCCACATAATTACTGAATCAGTGATGGGAGACTAATGACCATTAGACTTGAATATGCCCATGATCAACTGTCATGGAAATATTTCATGTAAATACTTAAATAACTAGTTTGATTGCATATCTATAAAGCAAAGCAAATAACCTTTACTTGAGATTCAGCCAAATTGCATTCTTTTCATTGAAATTTCAATACCTAATTTTTCAGTATAATAAACAATGAATAAAAACAAAATTTCAGCAGTATTAATAAATAATGTAGGAAACATGGATAAATTTCAGAAATATTTTACTATATTTCATTGTCAACTTACTTTTGTATACTAAATAGTCATTTGCAAAATTTGTATTAATAAAAATACAGTTTCTGAGGATCAATACTGTTGGAGATTCACAACATTAAGGGATGGCAATATCTGATTTTGACTTACTTATCCATTTCATCAAATGCATTTCTTCATGTTCATTTCTTGTCCATGCGGTATTTATAAAATAAATTAACAAAAAAAACAACATTAACTTATCCCTAAGGCTTTGTGACAACCTGGGTAAAAGCAACAACATTTAACCGCCCCCTTAAATATTTATCAACTTACGTTCCTCTCTCCACTATTTCTCCCTCATCAAGAACCAATATAGTATCTGCATGTATAATTGTTGAAAGACGATGTGCCACTATTATGGTAGTTCTGTTCTCACACACTCTAGCCAGGGATGTCTGAATGTTACGTTCTGTTTTTGTATCCAATGCTGAGGTAGCCTGTAATAAAAACACATGTATCCAAAGAACACTCAAGTTACTTCATTCCTGAGAAATTTGTGTATTAATATGTTACCACAGTTTGTTTCTTTATAAAATGATTTAAAATGACTGGACTGAGTTTTCCATATAATGAAGGTCTATATCCATAACTTGTGTTCAAAATTTCAGATCATTTGCTCACTGCGCATTTCCAGAATAACTACTCTAATTGAGGAAATGACCCAATTTTGAAAAAGTGCTGAAACACTTTTCACTCAAATCAGGCAAAGACTAGCACGAAAATATGATTTATCTTTGAGTCTTTTTCTTATTTGTCTTTTGCATATCTTCCTGTTTAAGTGCCCAAGCTGGTCTATGTTAAAGAATTCCAGATTTTATGTTTCAGGTTTTTGGACCACAGTGGAGTTCCTTTCATGGGATAGCATGCTTAATAAAAGACAGGTTTCCAATTAAACATCAAATTTCAACAAAAATAATTGAGATAAAAGATGCTTTAACAACTTTATCACAGTCAACATAAATAAAAATTTTAAGAGTAGTTTTTACCTCATCTAGTAATACTATTGCAGGTGCTTTCAGTAAAGTTCTAGCTATTGCCACTCTTTGCTTTTCTCCTCCACTCAACTTCAATCCCCTCTCTCCTACCACTGTCTCATATTCTGATGAAGAGAAGAATAAATGAGCCACACCATGACAAAACAAACATAGTGCTTTTGCGACCAGCATGGATCCAGACCAGCCTGGGCATCCGCACAGTCTGATCAGGATCCATGCTGTTCACTTACAAACCCTATTACAAGTAGAGAAACTGATAGCAAACAGCATGGATCCTATCAGACGGCGCAGACGTGCAGGCTGGTCTGGATCCATGCCTGTCGCAAACCCATTATGCTGGTTTTGTCATGGCGTGGCTCAAATGTTTATTGAAAATATATGTAGAGCACATATTTAAATTACACCTCTCCCTAATTGATTCAGTAAAATGTTCATATTTGACCAAGTTTTACAGAAATAGATTGCATCTGTCTTCAAGTAAGGATTATTATACTTATCCTTAAAATGGTCTTCAGCTTTTTTTCTTTGGAAAAACAATTTACATTTTGTTTCAAACTAAGTATTTAAGTAATTTTATCTTAAAAAGGTGCATCATATCGCTGTTAAGCCTTCTGCAAAACAGCATCAGTGACATTTGTTTCGAAAAATAAAAGATCAGGAAACAAATCTTCTGCTTTACTAATTTAAAATATAAACAGCGGACCGCTAGATTTGAGGTATCCAGGGGTTTCCTTATTGTTTATGCATTTTATCATCAGCAAATTTCATTTTCCACCTTATACTTTTGATTTGAAAATTACATGAGAAGATTTATCTAAAAATAACATATTTAATCTTCATAAAAGCTGAATGACCCTTTAAGGTTAATGCATACTTAATATTTGTAGATAATTACAACAAAAGCATTCTGCTGTTCTTTCAGGAGGCTTCCTTCAATGCTAATAGGAATATTTGTGAAGACAACTCTGCTATTTAATTATTGATTCTTAACCTACTGAATTTTTTAAAGGTCTTTGGCCAAAAAAGACATATTTTCATGTTTCCAATAGATTTTGGTACATAATTAACAATAAACAATTAAGATGTCCTTATGTGAAAAAAAATGTGATTTAGAGAGTCATTTTTTTCTTTCCATAATGCGATTGGTAATTTCCACCACCCTTTACACCAATGACATAGGAATATTCCTGCCTAACTTTTTTGACATACATGTCAGTTATACTCATGCATAAATATTTCCCGCCATCACATCAAAATATCTAATATTTTGTGTAATTTCACAAGTTTTGCACCAACACAATTTAGGTCATATGTCGCCGAAACAGGAAAGATAATTTTGGCCAATCTCGAGTGCTACAAACTTAAAGCAACATCAGGGGTCAAAATCACCTCACCTGCTGAAGCAAAGAGATGCATAGACTAAATCAATTTGAACCCATTTAGTCTCTTACGATCATGCTAGAATAAATGGTGGATGAAATTCTGTTGCATCAACTCTTAAAGACAATCTCTCAGTCACAAAAGTAATGAAGAACTTACTTGATGGAAAAGTTAATATTCTACTATGAATATCTGCAGCGTCGGCAGCACCTTCCACTTCCTCGTCCGAGGCTGTGACCCGGCCATAACGTATGTTATACATTATATCATTGTTAAATAATACTGTATCTTGGGGAACCACTCCAATACACTTTCTTAACGACTCCTGTTTTACCTACATAAATAAAAATTAATTAATTAATGTCAAAAGAAAGAATACTTGATTAAAACAACAAAAGAACTGGTTAACATGTTACCATTGAACCCTCAGAAAAACATCACCTCTTAAGTGACATCTTCAAAACAACATCAAAATGGAATGTAAAAATTTCAGCAGCTATGAAAAATATCTGTTGCAGAAAGATTCAAAGGCACTTTAAATAATAGATATTTCATATGAAAATTTTTCTGAAAGACTAACTACCAGTAAGTTTTATGTGTTGTGCAAGCCTAAGATCTGACCTCAGAAACAAAGTTTTAAGTCTAAGCTTATAGTTTACATACATAGTTTACATACAAGAATATTGGAAAGCCTGATACATGTATATGCTCATTTAGTCACTGAGAAAGCTAAATGCATGGCCCCACTAAAACGGAAATGTAGGAAAATCTATTTGTAGCATCAGTGACCTTGACTGAATTGACCTGACATTGGAAACAGATATAATTGTGGTACTATCACCAACCTTTGATATGTCTTGACCATCTATGCATATAGTACCCGCCTGTACATCATAAAATCTGAACAACAGTCGAATAATTGTACTTTTACCACTTCCAGAGTGACCAACCTATAAATATATATAAACAAACGATCAAACAATTAAAATTTTCTTTATCAAATTTTTGAAATAAATACTTAATAAGTCTCTCATACTTCTTTACTAAAGGCAAACAGTCATGAAAATGCATAACTGTAAATATAAGACTTTACAAATGTTCCCTTACAGACATGAATATCGGGGGTTGGCAGGCCATCAATGCCGTAATATCATTGCCCCTTATCGCTGTGGTTCAAATCCCACTAGTGACTGTGGATTCTTTTACTAGAAGAACCTATCCAGCTAGCTAACTGAACGTCAGTGGTTCTACTCAGGTGCCAGCTTGTGCCTAATATACTGCACTGAAGATCCTGAACACGTGAGGCCTTCCTCCACCAGAGAAGCTGGAAAGTCCTTATATGACTTTAAATAAGCCAGTGTGACTCTAACCCAACAAAACAAACAAACAAATCATGGTTACTTCTGTTTATATATATCATATAATACTTACCAAAGCAAATGTTTGTCCTGGTGGCACAGAGAATGAAATGTTTTTCAGTATATCTTTCCTAGAATATAAAATAAAGCTTTGTATATGAAATAAAGTTTCTGTTAGATTTGGAAAATGAAAAACTTGCTATTTCAATGGTCTCTTAACGTACTTTTACACTATTTTACATTATAACCGTTAAAATGTTAAAACAGGAAATTAAAGGCAGTCTGTCATAACAGCATTTCAAAATGTGGATGTTATATAGCACATAAGCATATCTATATGCCCAGAACCTCACAAAATGGGTGTGTAAAAGATGAAATGAAGAATGTCTTCCTTTTTGCATCAATAAGTCCTACCATTCATTGTATAACAGGCATGTTCAATATTAAAGGAAAGCAAACAAAATACTTAAAATGACTTAGGCTGTAGAATATAGCCAGATCTCACTGAATTAGGCAGTGCAGCTTGACATGGCTCTATACTGTTGACAAAGGCAAGTCACATTCACCAATAGCATTTGAAGATTAAACTAACCGATAGCATTTAAAGGGTAAACAAACTTACGTGGGCTCATATTTGAATTCTACATTCTTGAATTCTATCTGTCCAGACTGTATTTGTAGATCTTTGGCATCTGGCACATCAACAACCTTTTCAATTAAATAATAAATAGCATATAGCTATAGCATTCAAAATAGTGAAAAACCATTGTTAAAATTCAGCAGAATTAGGGTCTTATGGAATTTATTCTGGTGACATTATGTGTAGGAAGCACATTGCTTTATCAGTTATAAAGATTTCTGACATGTTAAATATATGGTTGTTTGCAGCAGGTCAAGTTATTTTGCAAGCAACAGTTATATAAGCCATATAACCTGTCAAGAATCTTTAATATGTATTTAAAATTCATGAACATTAAACTTCTCGTCTCAGAGAAAAAAGTAATGACATCATAAATCAACAGCAGCTGTGTATATAGGTTATACAAACATCTTGATTATGCAATGAAAAAAAAACATTACAAATGTGCACTATTATCAAATTTAGTTATCAAGACTTTGACAGGTTATATGACCAGAATCAATAGCTATCAGCATATATAACATGGACTTAAAACTAAAAACAATCCTTTTCACACAGCCCTATAACTTTACAAGTCTTTATAACAAATTTTTATCACTGTATAATTCCTTTCTTTTGGTTGAATTCAGAATTCATGAATTTTAAGCAGATGTGAATTAATTCATATAAACCTAACTGCCGTCCAAAAAATTGCTGTTACAAAACATGCAGTAATATAGTTAATATAAACCTCACTGTCGTCAAATGAAAATTGAGTCACATAACATGCTGTAATATACATCTATTCTCACTGTTGCCCAATGAAAACCACTGTTACAAAACATGAAGTATTATAGTTTATATAAACCTCACTATTGTCCAATGAAAATCTGTGTTACAAAACATGGACTATTTTATATAACAAGATAAATCAAACATACCTCTAGACCAACATCCAGTAATTCAAACATATTTTCCATATCTATAAATGCTTGCTGGATCATTCTGTAATATAAACATATAACCGATCTAATAGTTGGTTAACTAGGGGCAATTATTGCATTAGAGAGATTTTTCTCTCCAATAAAATGTCCCTTTAAAATATCTTCTTAAAGGGACTACCCTATAATTTTTTTACATGATGGAATTGGAAATATTTTTTCAAGATTTTTTATACCATTTGATGGATGTCTTTACCAATCATAAACTTGTGTGCAAATTTCAGATCTTTCGCTGAGAAAATTTTTATTCTGCAAAATAACCTATCATCAAAAGCTCCCATTGGACTAAGAATTGTACTAAATATCAATTTTCAATTTAAGTCTAAGAATATTTTTTAATCACTTTTTTTTTTCATATTTTTCTTTTGAAGTGCCCAACTTGATCTGTTTAAGTTTTTCAAATTTTGTGTTTTCAGGCTTTGAATCTCAGTGGAGTACCTATGTTAAAACAAAACAATATTATGAACATGGTCTATGAAGCAAAATAGAGCATAAATGACCTTGAGGCATTATCAACCTAGAGTCCAATGGTAGACATTCATGAAAGGTACCAACACATCAAATATCTCACCTTTACATTTAAGTTAACAAATAAATGTGCTATAAGCAATGGTACGAAAGTGTGTTCAAAACAAGTATAGTCAAACAAACGAATATTCCAAATGTTCCATAGCAAAATTTCCATGAGCATATAACTGAGAACATATAGATAAAGAAATGGCAAGGTAAAATGTCAGACTAGTAATCTAAGGCTTGCATGCTGAGGGATTGAGACCAGTCAGGGGCAAGGTGTTGTTTTCTTGAGCAGGGAAACTTTACACACATTACTCAAGTACTGGTTGGCTCCAGGAACAGATTCAAGAGTGTGTCTATCCGCTTATAGCTTCTTACACAATCAAACATAATTAGATTTTGACAGTGTAAGAGAGGTTCTGTATAACCTAGAACATAGTTTACCTATCCTACATTTCTTACCTGTAATAAGTTCCTAACCAATTCAGAGGTCCATATAACTGTATAATGTATGTCCCAAACAGCACATAGTCTCCAACAGTAAGATGTAAACCATTCAGGCTATGGACCACAGCCCAGGCACAGAGCAGGGAGCCAGCCAGAACCCCACCAGTAATGACCACATTCTGTGCCGTGTTGAGAAGGTTCAGAGAGGCAGTGGCTTTCCATTCAGCTTTCTATAAATTTAGAAAGTACATGTAACAGTTCTTTTATATTGTTCATTAAACTGATGCGTAACAAGATATTCTGATTTGAGGGTTGATTTTTTTGGCACTTTTCCAATCATTTTTTTTAGTGTTAAAAGAATAATACAACTTTTATAATGCTTATTGACACAATGGTAAAACAGTTTAATTTTCCTGAAGTGATTTGCTTTACTGTCATATTTCAAAAATCTAAGTAATGTTATGCCAATGATGTAAATCCCAGATTTAATACTGTAACCTGTAGATTTAAATTTTGTTTAGAGATACAGAATCCCCCATCTTTGATATAATCACTTATGTTTAAAGATATAATTCCTATGTCTATGGACATTATCCACCACCTTTAAGGATATAATTCCCATGTTAAAAGATATAATCCCCCATGTTTAAAGACATAATTTTGATGTTTTTGGGCATAATCAGCTGCTTTTAAGGAAATAATCCCCCATGTTTAAGGAAATAATCCCCCATGTTTAAGGATAAATCCCCCATGTTTGAATATATACTTCCCATGTCTATGGACATTATCTTCAATCATTAAAGATATAATCCCCCATATTTAAGGATATAATTCTTATGTCTATGAACATTACTCCCAATGTTTATGGATATAATCTCCCATATCTATGGCAATATTCCCCCATGTTTAAGGAGGTTTAAGGTCATTATGTTGTATTTTGTCTGCACTTAAATGATAACTTTTCCCCCACCTTCATTTTTGACTTACATAACAGCCCTTACAAAGTAGGATCAGTCTTCTTACTGACAGCAAAATGTTTTATGGTCACACTCAAAACGGAGTCAGACTGTAAACCAAAACATTAAAATCATTTTGTGTAAACAAACACACACCTTAATAAATTTACCTGATATTTTAGAATAGCTTTATTGTATCTGTCCACTTCAAAATCTGAAGCTCCATAGTACTTTACCTGAAATATATTCAACAAATATCAAGAAGTTAAACATAAGATAAACAGGTACAGGGTAATATAATTACTTATCACAAAAAATACTGCAAAAATATGTAATTTTATACACAAAAACCACAACCAATTTACTGGCATAATAGCTTTATAGTTTTGTAAGGATATTAAAGTTATACAATATATTTTCTACTGCAAATTTGTAACAATGATTTTCATTGGACGATCATGATGTTTGTATTTGTCATATAACATATGACTGGTGCTTATTTATAAATCATTTCTATTTTATCTAAGAAAGCAATTGTCAAGTATTATAAATTTTGAATTTGACTGTTTATATGGTCATATATTAATTTTGCTATAATGACTTACAACTGATTACACTGGACCATATATCTTGTCAAAAATCTTTATTAACCTATAATGTAACTGTCCACTTAGGTCAATATGTAGAGCATTGGACTGTTGATACAGCAACCTAGATTTGATTCCCAAATGGTGAAGGTCATTTCTGTTGCGATTGATCATGAAATCCTGCCTACGGTCATTCGTGCTGTACCTCTGCTCTGGTACAATAGGTATAAGTTCCTTGAAAAAATGAAGGCAACTAGTACTGGTAAATTGCTTGACAGCCTGCCATAAGCAGTTATGTGATGGCTTAACTCTGCTCTGGTGAATTAACTGTTAAAGTAAAAAAATTACCATGCACTTACAGTTTCAAAATTTAGAAGAGAATCAACTGCTTTTGAATTAGTTTCATTATCAAGAAGATTCATTTCTCGCCTGTATTTTGTCCTCCACTCTGTAACCCATATAGTCACCGCTGAAAAGTCAATAGGATATGTTAGAAATATTATATTGTTCGATTGTTTGTTTAGTTTTATTGCCCATCAACAAAGAATAGGTCTTAAGGTGCCGGAACAGGAAAGACGATTTCGACTAACCTCGGTGTAACAAACTTTAAAGCATAAAACACTAGGGGTCAAAACCACCTCACCTGCTGGAGCTAAGCAATTTGTTAATGAATAACAGTTACAACAAGTAAAGGTAATTTGCCATTTTTTTTCACAATTGACCACTTCAGGTCACATTTTGACATTTGAAGTTTTGTTTGGTTCATTTTCTCTGGGTTTGTTGCACCAATCTTAACACATATTTGGATGGAGATAGATCCACCTAAATGGCTTGCCTGGATAACCAACTACTTAATTTTTATAAAATGGTATGAAACATGACAAACAGTTGGACCAGCAAACACTAAAAAAAACAATGAAACTCCTGTCTATCAACAAATACATTTAACTTAAAACTAACAAACATTTTTTCAAAAAGTCAATTATAGAAATAACAAACATTAAAAAAATACATACCAAGGTAAAGAGCCATGGCAAGAAACACAACCAGTCCAAATATATAGTTAAATGCTGTGATGAAGTATACAACGGCTATTAATATATCTACTATAGTTGGTAATATCTGAAACACTACATAACTGAAATAAATATAAAACAAGATATGTTTGTAAAACATGTATGCCCCCTATCTGCAGCCAATTTGTCATGTGATCAGGTTATTATGCATGACTTCTGACCCAGTGAACAAGCAATTAATAAGGGTTATCTAGTATCTACTGGTCATGACTAGTCAAAAGGTAATAATTATTGTGACCCCATAGGTTGTGTGCAGCAATTAAAGTTATTAAAAGTCTTACCAAATAATATATACATAAATTTTATGAATCACATAGGCCTCATTAATGACAGCCAAGTTGTAATATTACATAAGACCTTCAAATGTGTATACCAAAAGCACATAAAAATATCAACCAAGGCAACTTGAGTTGTTGAGTTATTGGTTAGAAACGGTCATTAAGTACAAGGTCACTATGACATTGACCCCTTGACCCCAAAATCAATAGGGGTCATCTACTGGTCATGACCAATCATCATACCAAGTTTGAAGTTCCTAGGCCTAAGCGTTCTTTAGTTATTGATCGGAAACCGTTTTTACCTACAAGGTCAATGTGACCTTGACCTTTGACCCCTTGACCCCAAAATCAATAGGGGTCATCTGCTGGTCATGAACAATCATCATACCAAGTTTGAAGTTCCTAGGCCTAAGCGTTCTTTAGTTATTGATCGGAAACCGTTTTTACCTACAAGGTCAATGTGACCTTGACCTTTGACCCCTTGACCCCAAAATCAATAGGGGTCATCTGCTGGTCATGAACAATCATCATACCAAGTTTGAAGTTCCTAGGCCTAAGCGTTCTTTAGTTATTGATCGGAAACCGTTTTTACCTACAAGGTCAATGTGACCTTGACCTTTGACCCCTTGACCCCAAAATCAATAGGGGTCATCTGCTGGTCATGAACAATCATCATACCAAGTTTGAAGTTCCTAGGCCTAAGCGTTCTTTAGTTATTGATCGGAAACCGTTTTTACCTACAAGGTCAATATGACCTTGACCTTTGACCCCTTGACCTCAAAATCAATAGGGGTCATCTACTGGTCATGACCAATCACCATACCAAGTTTGAAGTTCCTAGGCCTAAGGGTTCTTTAGTTATCACTCGGAAACCATTTGGTCTACGGACCGACGGACCGACGGACGGGACGGACCGACAAGTGCAAAGCAATATACCCCCTCTTCTTCGAAGTGGGGGCATAAAAAATCAAACAATCATTTATTGAAGAAATCGAAATTAAAGTAACACATTTTTCATAAGCTCATAATCAGATCTGTCTTAATTTCTCAGTCATGCCTAATTAATACATATTTTAATTGAACAAAGGTGATCAAAACTTTATACATGTTCATGTTAATTTGGTTAAGAGTAAAGTTCACTATTACACTGTTCATTCACCTATCATATTCACAATATTTGTTTGCTTTTAATAAGTATGTATGGCATGTTACTGAAAAATGGGTTTTTGTCTTAACACATCTTTGGTCATATCTCAGCAGTTGGGACACCTATCTGGCTTTCCTTAATTACTAACCAGCAATTACAAATTTTTTTTTCAACAAGTGATACACTACTAACTGACAAATGACCATTACAAATAACTCTACACTACTAATTGACAAATGACCATTACAAATTACTCAACACTACTAATTGACAAATGACCATTACAAATAACTCTACACTACTAATTGACAAATGACCATTACAAATTACTCAACACTACTAATTGACAAATGACCATTACAAATTACTCAACACTACTAATTGACAAATGACCATTACAAATTACTCAACACTACTAATTGACAAATGACCATTACAAATTACTCAACACTACTAATTGACAAATGACCATTACAAATTACTCAACACTACTAATTGACAAATGACCATTACAAATTACTCAACACTACTAATTGACAAATGACCATTACACATTTCTCAACACTACTAATTGACAAATGACCATTACAAATTACTCAACACTACTAATTGACAAATGACCATTACAAATTACTCAACACTACTAATTGACAAATGACCATTACAAATTACTCAACACTACTAATTGACAAATGACCATTACAAATTACTCAACACTACTAATTGACAAATGACGATTACACATTTCTCAATGTCCCAGATCAATTGTCACGGAGAAATTTAAATCTGTCCGAGGAACAAACCAGTTACTCCTGCATTACAAATTGATGCTCTCCCTATTGAGCTAAATGGGTGGACCTGAGAAATTTCACCTTTAACTTGCTGCATTTTATAAATGGACTTTTCCAATTTCCATTTTGGGACAGTTCAATATCCAGTGATTTTCCTACTTATATAACAGACTCCGAAAAAAGGCATCTTCCCAATTGAAAATTTCTTTAAAATCATGCAGTTTTCCCAAAAATCTGAACTTAAACCACCTTTTTTACTTCCCAAATCAGCAAATTTAGCGATAATTTTTCCCAAAATCAAGTGGCTAAGGCCTCTTCCCAATTAAGTTAGAAAAATCACTGATATCAATTTTAGGTGATATCAAGGTTTTGAAGTTGGTCAGCCAACAGTATAGAGCCTGGTCAGCAGGTTAAAGGTTAAGATTTCTAACAAACATACAGCAAGTGGAACATTGAATTTTTCCCTACAAAAATGGGTAATTTTCCATATCATGAATAATGTACAATCTTTTCACCTGAAGATTTTCACTTGAAAACAGTTACGTTTGGACAATAAGAAATACATACAGTTGACTCTCGGTAACTCGAAATCCAAGGGACTGGGCATTTTACTTCGAATGAAACGGAATTCGAGTAACGTGGAACTGCCGCCATTACATTGACATTCGTACATGTATATACATGTGCCTGATTAAATGTGCAAAGAAGTAGGTTTGTTATTGTTGTTAGCGGCAATGCTGCAATATTTAACCGTTGAAATAACGGTAAATCAATTACAACTACAAATTATAAATGAACAAAAATATATCATTCAAAATTTAATACATGTTTATTAATAGTGAAACATAAACACACAATTATATTTGATTCGATTGATCATCGGACGAAAACGAAAGTAGCAACTATCGTGAACCGGAAGTACAAATTAATGTATGCAAACCGATGGAACATTAATTATACAAATGTCATTTACGTTGATAACACACATACCTAGGCTGTTATTTGACTTACACCCGTCAGACTGGCACCAGTCAACATTCTTAAAAAAATATAATTAAATCTTAATTTAATTATCTTACTGTTAAAACCAATTAAGTGCTGAAACGGATTAAAGCCATTTATACGATGTGTTATAAATAAGTGATGACCGGCAATTAAAAATTACTATGATACGTGTAAATCACGAGTGACAACATCTCACCTTGATATCGCCGACCTTTGATCAGTCGGCTGTTTTCGCACTTCGACTAATTGAGATGAAAATATGTTGGGCTTTAATTGACGGGACCAAATTTTCTTTTCGACTAAACAGGAGTATCGGTAAGTCAAAATTTGACCTAAGCGGAGTTAAAATACAAAGATAAAGAAGGAAATTTGACGGGACTTTAGAAATTCTTCGACTAACGCGTAATTTGAGTAAAGCGATTTTGACTTATTGAGAGTCAACTGTACTTTATATTTAAAGTCCATATATTTCATTAATTTGAATAAGGTAAACAAACTTACTTAAGAAGATTATTAATACTGTTTGTTCCTCTGTCAACAACTCTCAATATCTCACCAGTCTTTCTCTTAAGATGCCAACTCAATGATAGGCTAGAATATAGAAAACATTAGTACAAACCCCCACCACAAACATTGTACTGTAAAGTAAATTAAAACATTGAAATAGGTGCATGCTTGTGCAAAAAATAATTCTGAGGTTTTCCCCAGCTAGTAAAGCTGAAAAAATGCTGCAAATCTTTAAAGTGTCAGTTTGACTAAAAGCCTTATTGAGTAAAAACTGCTTAATTTGACAGCTTGGTGTGAAAGGGTCGTAACTCCTTTATTATTTAATGAGTAAAAACGCTTTCGCACCAATCCCTCAATATATGTATATAATAAATCTTATAGATTTATAAATTATGTATGAAAGTCATCAATGTAACATAATAGTGCTATTGTAAAAACAAAGTTAACTAAATAAGACAGTACTATAAAACTGTAACATGAGAGTATTACCTATGTAAATGGCCAAACAGTTTGACTTGAACTCTACGTGTTGTATACTGTTGTACAGGGATCCATAGAAATGTTCGCATGTTGTTAAGAAATCCAGAACCTCCTGTTAATAAAAATATATTTAGATTCTAGCCTTATTTGCCATCCAATGAAAATGCTGTATTTCTTAAAAATTGTGTGTGTTAATTTTCATAGAAGAACAAAAGTCAATACTATATCGAATTCTGTTCAAAGTCGCCTTTTATTTTTCATAGTACTTCATAGAACAGCGTAGTGACTTAATTAAATGAATAATAATGAGGCCCAACAAATCTTGACATTAAGTATGTAAGTATTCATCACTAGCTGTTCTACAGAAATTAGAAAAATTTATGTATTTTGGTGACAATTCATATTGAAAAAATTCAATTTCATACATTTTTATTTTTTGAGTGGTACAGATAATGCCTGGACAGTGCTGCATTGAAAGTTCAAGCATATAGGTCAGTTTGCACTCTTGTGCAGTCTGAATCACACGTTATACAGCTAGCTACTCAATTGTATCATTTGTCAGATCAAAATCCCTCAAATTCATCACAGTTAGCATGAACCTGTAGGAACCTAGTGATCAGCCTTTGTCACTAGTATAGACCTAGGCTAGCTTGAACATCTGTGCTGTCTGACCAGGCTTTATACTCTTCATGGCTTAATTTTTGTTTTTTTTAATATAGTCACATTAGTGCAGTAACAAAAGAACTCCTTATATAATTCAAAAGGAGTGAACATGTTATTGCACTAAGGTGACTATATTGAAATTATCAAAAAACCCATACATTTCCAAAGGACAGCTCCAAATGCAAAGCAAAACAAATCCATTACAAAAGAATTGTGTCCACAGGACACGGATTTATGGACATGGAAGCTCCCACATTTCACTGTTTTGTGAAATCTATATGCTTCCCCCCTCTACCACCACCCCCATCCCTAAGAAAAGGGTGTATAAAATTTCACAGAAGTTGCTGACCTTTAAACAAATATTAACAACTCACCTCCACTGCTTCCTTTAAAGAAAAGAAGAGCACTATATATACAGATAAAGTCCCATCTAAACTCCGGTACCTTCACTCCCAGCATGCCATCAACAGTTGTCTTCTGGTCATAGGTTAAACTGTTCACTGAAATTATTACAGAATACCAATGTGTACAGTGGTAGATGAAAATAAGAACATAAGTAGTAAAACATCTGGGCAAGGAGTGATCCTTCAAAAGCATCAATGTTATAGGGAAATTGCAGACTTGGTTTGATTAAATTTATTCATGAGATATAATGTATAAGTGCAACATCTTTTTTAGCCCCCATCACCAGCATAAGCAGTATTCAATTTTCAACACAAATGTGATGGAATCATTTATCCTGAAGAACACAAAAAATATAACAATACTGCAATGAAATATGGAACAACCTTGCCATTATTATATATTAGCCTGATGAAAAGCCTAGTATGCAACTTGTACTACTGATAGTCAGTACATTTTCAACGTCTTGCCACTCAAATTGCCAGTCTCTAAATTGTGCACTGCTCATTTCAGCTTTTGGTATTGCTTCTCCAACGAAGTTCATAAATTCAAAACAGAAGGGCAATGACCTTACAGCTTAGAGGTCTGCCTCTCTACAATGGTCCACTTCTGAATTTATTACAAAGAGCAACTAAGTCTTGGCCAATGACCTATAATTTTCAATTAATTCCTTTCTTTGAGCAATAACAAACAAAGGAAGCTTTAATACTTTATATTAGACACACAGATAGGTTACATGGCTACCTAAATCTGCAAAAATATGGTAATCAGTATGATTTACAAGGATCAGTTACTTTGTTATTTATGAACTTTTTATGAATTTCTTAGCATTTATTTTCTAAATACAAACATTATTAATAATCTTTACAAAGATTTCTAATGTTTTAATTTGTACCTGTGTCGTAATTGATACGGTAAATACATGAAATATATAAATGCAATATTATTGTGTTTAACATGTAAACATATAATTTTTTTTTTTCAGAGTAAAACCACTACCTATATATTTGTTATAAATAGGAACAAACACATTGATTCCACGCCCAGCCCCTAGTATCAGGAGACACCCTAGCACAATTAACTGTCTCCACCAGCTTCCTTTAGGCCATACATACGGTGCCATCATCTTTAACTTGCTCAAAACATTACTCCATGTTGAACCTTCATGTCTACCAGATTTATCTCCCTTGAAAAAAAAGAAGATTAAAATAAACAAAAGCTGTTGATAGGACATCATGTTCAACTATTCTTGGTGCTCAATAGTAAAACAAGAGCCTGAAAAATAAAGAAAGTTCAAAAATGGCCATGATTCTGTCAAATCTGTGATAGAGTTATGGGCTTTGGACAGTGAAATATTTTCCATTCTTATAAAACGACTAAGATACTATGAAGATATATATATATCCAAGGGCTCACTCTATATCTTATTCTACAAAATGTAAAAAAACACCCATAACAAACACACATAACTGTATGTATCTTAAATAAAACAATGCTAGACAAAGTTTTATCAAAATCTTGCAAATACTCGGCTCTGTAACTACTCAGTAACTCACTAACTGTAAGAATGTATCGCAGACATACCGTAAAATTCTTATTAAACGCACCCGAGGGGCTAAACATTTTCCAAAAGGAGGGCTTTTATTACCACACAGTCTTTCCTAAATCTAAACTCATCAAAAATACATTCAGTATTAGCAAGTGTTGGTAATAACATTAAAAAGTGTTAAGATTTTCAAGTTTATATGATACATTTTTGTGTTTACTATAGAATAAAATGGATTTTGAAGGATGCGAATAAAATTATGGATTTACTCAGGAGTTCAGCACTGATGAGTAGATTTTTTTCATATCAAAAAACCTGGGGGCGTTTTTTAGGGGAGTGGTGTGTGATAGGAATGTTACAGTACTATATTAACTCTCTTTAACAAATAAGTTAGGTGTATTTCAAGACAAAATATACCTTTTTGTCATCATCTTCTGACTGCAGGGCTCTGTAACCATGGATAGGTAATCCTGGAGCTTTTAGGCCAAGCAAGAACAAAAGTGTGGTACATGAATATCTTACAACCCACAGTATAAACTCAGCATGATCAGAGGCACTGAAAAACAGAAAAAAAAATATGTTTATCAACATGCCAGTTTCAACAATAAGACATTTTCTCAGATACACTTTGAAACAAACAAATATTAAATTTCATAAACATACTCAGTGTATTAAAAAGCATTGCAGTTGCAGTACACAAACAGTAAGTCTTCAGGAACTAGTAGTACACATATACAATTTTCTTACAGTATGCAATGCTGTTACAGGTTTTTATTTAATCAAATATAAATGACTACAATTTTTTAACATTCAGTTTTAAGTTTTTTATGCATGGACACCGTTATAAAGGTCCTTCAGCAAACACTCCATAATTACTGATGAAGAAATCTTTGAGTGCCCATTTGTACAATGTTACAGACACAAGCAAGCACCTCGGTAGAAGTTTTGAAGCTTTATCCTAGATAAATAACTTCTTCATATGAGTGTCAAAACTCACTGCAAAATGGAACAAATGATTTACCAACATGAACATGGGCTGATTTAACTAGATAATAAAATATCAACAACAAAATTACCTGTCAAAATACCAGAACCATGAATGACTCCACCAGCTGATGAAAGCTAGGTTTTCTCTGAGGAATGCCAAGGTCCAAAACACAAGAAGGAGTAAACCATGTCCCCTTGTCGGAATTGTAGGTAACATCTGTTTTCGTTCTAATGACAAAACTTTCAAAGAACTTGACCACGCAATAAACAAACAAAGAAATGTAAGAATGTCCACGCCCACAACTCCTCCATTCTCTTTCAACAAATCTTTCGTCACAATGTGAGACAGCGACTCCAGTACAAGAAGTACCGTCAAAAAGATCTGCACCACTGAACCAAAATTGGAGTTAACATACTTCTTGTCGATTTTGGTCGCGTATTTCCTATACATGGAGCATTGAACGCAGCCAAAAACAAAGATGAAAAGGAACAGAATTGATGATGTTATTGTATTCAAGAAGCACTGGTTAAGCCCCTCATCAATCCACACTTCAGTGAATTCTGTGCCGTTTGTACAAAACTCCATATTGTCCCTTTACAGATTTTCACTTAATACTTCAACTGAAAAATATAACAACATACTTAAAGAACATGTGCTAAAAACACTATTTATTGATACTTAATTGCTTATTCAAAATGCAACTTTTAAAGTAAATATCTATGGCATGATAAAAAAAAATCAAAATATAATCTTAGTCATACAATATAAATAATGAAATAGTACATGTCAATATACATAATTTCATATTTTCATATCTAATATATATTCACCAACAGGTTTTTGGCATGTGACATTAATATAAACAAATCCCTGAACGTTGACTTTAGTTTTTTTTGTTTATTTTTTCATCTTAAAAGTGAAATATTTTCATTTTTAATTACTATTTTTTCACTACATGTACATCTATTGTAACTACAATAAATTATAAACAAAGAAGGTTTTACCGAATTTTTCATATTCGCAACTATAATAATGATCTTTTCACAACTCAAAAACCTCTTTATATTATTGTACAATCTTCTTCTCGATACTCACAAACAATGAAAACAAAACTGGGAGATGCTGTCAGTAAGTTACTGTACATTGTAAGTCTATCAATTTAATTATTAAAGAACAGAGTAATTCAAAAATATTTCTCTCCACTACTTGAATTCAAAGGTATTAACTAGTAATTACACAAGAACCTTGCCCATCTAATATACAGGTAAAATAAAGAAAAAACTAGTAGTATGACAGTGTTGTTAGGTGAAGTAATGTAAAGGAATAAGTTCTTGATTTTGACATTTGCCCTTAAAAATGCTAAATGTCACTTAAATGATCTCATCAAATTATGTAAAAACACAATAACAATCAATAAAAATACAATGTTTCGAATTATTTTTTTGCAAAAGACAATTTCTAAGAGCAATCTTCAAAGTACTTTTCTTTATGAGATAAAACCGATTAAAGGTTGAATATTGTCCTCTTTGCTCTTACCAAACTTCCAAAGCCATTCATGCCAAAGCTGGCTAATGTCTCTCTTTCTATATCTGCATTACAAATCACATTTAAAGTGTTTGAGACATCTGTGATATGCAAGTTATCAAAATAATTTGTTTTAAACTGCAATTCAATTATAACCTCTGATTATAAAACAAATGTTCAAAAAACATAAGTAAGTACATGTAAAATTCACAATTGAATATAATTACGCAAACACCGGTTACTACTAATCGACGGTCTCCGGTCTTCGGCATTCTAGCTAGAAAGACGTCAGATTTTAGACTTGAGTATCATATGCATACATGTAACCAGTGTCATTCAAATAAAAATTCTAGTAGAAAGACCCCGATATAGCCGAATATGAATCATTTACTTAAAATACATTTTTGGCTAGTTTGCATGTTATTTCTGAACTTCTGGATAAGATTGTTAAATTTCTTGAAAATACACTGGAATAACACTTTGAACAATCAAATGATTAAGAATTACAAATGTATCACATAGTATTACGTAAAAGTATAAAATGAATTTCTAAGATGACTAAAAAGAGACTTTCTTACCTGTTTATAGCGACCATATCGGGCTTACTAAATAAGATTTTTTTTAAAAATCCAATTATCATCTGGTTAAACATTCAGTGCTGTCGTCCATTGTGCACGTAAGTATAGTAGGCCTAAGCCTTTCATAGATGATCATATTATAATTCATAACTAAAAGGTAATTTTGAAACTTCACCAAGACATCAAAAATGCACTGTAGGGATAATTTTAAAGTTCCAAACATATTCATATAATTGGAATGCTTTGATATATATTTTTTTTATTTTAAATTCACATAAATGGCATTTACTTGAATAGTGGCCAGTTTTGTTTTATGTAACAACCTTAAATCAGATGGAATAATATTTGATCATAAACTGATTGCAAAGGAAAATCGTTAATTAAATAATATATTCAGGAACATTACCTCTGACATAACATCGGTTGTCCAAGTATTAGTATCGGTAGCGACGGCTTATATTTGATTCAAAGCCTCGCGAGATTTCTTTTTAGGACAACGTAAAGTTTTTGATATATTATCGACTTTAATCTATAATTTAGTTTTATAGCTGTGAAAAAAATCTTAAGATTTTTAGTTTCTTCAGTGACTCAATGCAGCAAGCACGGGTTGCACGAGTCAAATATGACAAAAAACGGATTGGACGGCATTTAGTCTAGTTTTTTTTTCATACCGCGCAAGCGCAGCAAATGATTAAATAATACTTCCGATGTATCGTGTCAACAACATTTAACTGAAAATTTTGGAATTCCTTGTTTAGTCATGATCTAGTCAACCTGAAATGGGAAAATTTAGTATCGAGTAATCCAAGAGTGTTCATTTAGTTGATATTTGACTTTATAATTGTGTTCATTGAAAGAAGAATAGAATGGGTCTTTTGTTTACGAGACTGTGGAATTTGTTCACAAATGAAGGTAAGAGTGGTGTACATATATTTAGATAAGTTAACTTAATAATTAAATCTATTTACAGAGAAGCTAATATAAAAATATGTTTATGCTTTTAAAGGAAATTGTTCCTATTGAAGTTGTCAAATGATTTAGAAAAACAATGAGGTTTCGGTAATTAAAAAAGAATGTAAATGCTCAAATTAAATTAATAGTCACAATTATTTAATGAATGATATGTGAGTATATTTTCCTTAATTTATGGTTAAATAGATTACTTTATTCTGAAACTATTATTGGACAATAAAGAGTATGAACATTCAAATTCTTTCCAGAGAACAAGAGATGTAAATTCGCGAATCAGAACTAATTCATAATCTATTATTATAAATTTATTTTGATAGATCAGTTCAAATGACAGTAGAAAAAAAATTAAGGTTTTTTTTTACAAAATTTCAAAATATATGTTTAAATGCTTTTAAATCGAATACGTTTATTGTATTTGTCTAGAGGTCAGTGTTAAACTGTTAATTGATTGGTGAACCACTTTCATTTTTTTACCATTAGCAAAATTAAATATATGTAAGCAAAATGGACCATGGTTCTTTTTACATTAAATACAATATTTTTAAACATATGTATTTGTAGACTTTAATAAATAATTTTAACCTATTAGGTGGTGATGTGTGGTTTCTCTTAGTCCTCCGCTACCTCTAGTTTATGTATATTAATTACGTATTGATTAAACAAATGATCTTTTTTTCAGGAGCAACCTTTTGTCTTTATTGTAAGAGATTACCATGACAATATTATATGTCATATATAGTAAATATTTCATGCCATTGTATTTTAATTAAAAACTATTATTTGAGTTTACTAATTTCTGTTTAATATAACTTAATGAAAGTTTTCAGTAAAAAAAATGATTTCTGTTTAATATTACTTTTAAAATGAAAGTCTTTTGAAGGTGAAACTTATTTTTCCTACAAATACATGTAGGTTTATAAGACATATCAAGGCCATGAGATATTGTAAAAAGAATATTACATGATGGTGCACTGAGTCACACTGATTGTGCACTTAAATATGTTGTCACATGTCCCCTAAGGGTTGTATTTCAAGATAATATACACCTGTCATATCTTACTGGTAATGAGATTATTATTGCCTGTACACAACTAATTATGGTGTAATTAATGACCAGTTAAAGGGGGTAACTGTCTATTATTGAATAGAAATCATATTGAAATCAATGTAAATGATTCAATGTTATATCCAGGATTGGTTGTACTTCCCTGCTAGGATAGTAGATTTGTGTATGATATGATATATACATTTTAATAGTAATAATCAGGCTTGTTGGGTTTTTTTCATAGATAGTTGAAATGGTCCTTCCTTTATGATCCTTTGAGAAAAATAACAATCTTTTTTGTAAAAGGGGATGGTAAAAGAAATATTTTTTGATTGAGTTTAAGGGGAAAAGTTCTTTTTAAGATAATTACATTTTGGGAAAGAAGCCTTTTAATTCTCCCTGCTATAATAAACAAGTTACTGTGGCTGTAAAAAAATGAGGCCACTGATTCAAGTCAATAGCAGAGACATAGATAATGTTATGGAACTACGGTACATCTCTGTCAATATTGAGATAATGTTCATATTTTTCATAGTTTTACCTTCATTCTTTATTGTTAATTTAAGAATAATGTTGGAAAAAGGTCAAGGTACATTCCTGACAGTATTGTATACATAGGAACTCTGGAACAGGACCGCATATTGCGGCGCATAAATCCGAATCCGTACCGGCTTTACATATTGTTTGTCCGACCTTTGAATATCTTTTCATATTATGCGAGCGGGTGGTCTTTAATTATCTAATCTCAATTAAATATAATCTGCTAATTTAAAAATCAGTCAAATATACGGTATATTTGAAAAAAAAAAAAGGAGTGACATCCGCCATTTGCCGCAACGTTCGGCGTAAGTTACCCCCCTTGATATACTTGATTTTTGTTTTAATTTTTCTAGTAATGAATACGAGATGAGTGCCTAAAATATTTATTTATGGATCATGTTTAAATATTCCTTTTTTCAGTTGGACAAAATCAGTTGGACCATATTACTAAAGTGTCTGTTTTCTCCATTTTAACAAATCAATACACGAATGCGCCGGTTATAATGCCGCCTATACATGTCAACACGTGTACAATCAATAAACCGTTAACGTTATATCCGTACGATACCTGATAGTTGACAAAAATAACGGGAACAAAATTCTGAAAAAATAGTAATCAATTGTAGCCAAAGGGGAAAAACTCATGCCGAAAACGTTGCGGCAAATGGCGGATGTCACTCCTTGTCTTTTTTTATAATACCGTAAAATTTGACCAATTTTAAAAGAGACAGATTGGGTTCAATTGATAATATATTTTTTGAGTCCATACACTCGGATAATACTTAAAGATATTTAGATGTAGCAGAAACGTATTTAAACACCGTTACAAGATCGAAAATATACGCCGCAATCTGCGGTCCCGTTCTCGAGTTCCTATGATTGTATACACCAAAATAGCAATGTGATTTAAACCATAGAAATTTTTGTTATCAAAATGTAACTCTTTATTTTGTCACAGTTACGTTATTTATAGTGCCAGCTCAATTTTTAAGTTATTTCAAAATACATATATGTATCATGTACTGTGTAAACTTACGACTGCTCTTTGTTCTCAAAATGTTTAAAGTTCTTTGTTCAGTGTAAAGTTTTTTAAACTTCAGTGTTAAGTTCAAAGACCTTCTTTTAACAAAGGCCAAGTTGTGTCTTTCCTGAATTTGTCAGTACAGTGCACTTTTTGAATGAACTCATTTAAATAGTCAGCAATTTAGACCACAGTCAGTGATTTAAACCACAACCAGTGTTAAATAGCTTCCTACAAAACATGACCAACCTCCTTTGTTAGTTCTTGTGGTTTTCCAGGTGTAAACATTTAGTTACATAATTATAAAAAATAATTACACTGCTAGTGATTACCACTTGTCCCTGAATGTGAAATATTATATATTAATTTAAAAGTCAGTATGGAAAAGCAAGATTCTTTGTTTTTACACCCTGACCTTGAAATAGGACATTTACAATGTATATTACTATTTACCAACATCATAATTAAATTACTATATTCTTGTGGTTTACAACTTTCCTGCTTGAGTAAGCATGCTAAAATTTTTCTTTCCTCAAACTAGACCATTGTCTTTAAGTGCTTATATTTTTCTTGATTATATAATTCATATTACTAAGGTAGATAGGGTTATCTATAAATAGTGAGACCTATTTGTTTTGTCCAGAGTCTGTTCATAATCAGCGTTGCATTAAACATAGTGGCAATCTTGGTTATGTGAGAATAAATACATCTAGGCCATGTTATCACCATATAGGTCAGTTATATAATTCAATATTTATATATGTAAAGAAAATGATATTGTACATAGGGGTTATGCTGACCAAAAAATGTTATACCTTGTTAAGAAATTTGATAGGCTGAGATAGAAATATTATGATATGCATTGTATATAAGTTGTCTGACAGAAATTTATTATGGCCCATTACAATGTATGCCATTGAAAACAAATAAATGTTTCCTTCTTTAGAATACACACAAGTTTGAGTTTTTTAACTTTTAATACTAGTTTAAAAAGAGCATGTTAAAACTTAAATCACCTGATGAAAGTTACATAAACAAACGCTGAATGTGAACTTATATATATACCGGGAACTTTGTACTTTTTATCAAATATTACAACTCACACCCATCCGAGTATCACCAGATGTAAATAAAGCCATAGTCTGTGACATACTCAGTTAAGTGAAAATTATACCATCCTGGTCGTCTTTTTTTAATAAAAACAGGTGAGATTTTTAGACTTCATAGGGCTTCCGTTAAGTTCCTAAATCTGGAGGTTAGAGACTGCAAAATCTCTGATATTGGGAGTCACATTATATCAATATGATTATTGATATATATCATTATATAGGTAAAGAAAGAAAAGCATTACAATAGATGTTATCCGGATTCCGGAACTTGGCAAATGTTTGTCGGTACAAACTAACTCTTACTGTTATAGCTTCACAGTTTACCATTGGTCACAAAAGATAAGTTGTTGCACATATTTTCGAAGCTGTAACTGTAAAAGTTTGTTTGTACCCCCGGAATTATGCCTGGAAAAACCCAAAATATTCTTGATTCCGGAGTAAGTCTATTTTGGAAGTCGTAAGCCAAAATAAAGGAGATTACTCCCAAAATTACATTAATAGAAGCCCTGCTTTATCAGATTACTACAAATCTGACCCATGTATTGTTAGTTGTTTTGTAGCTACTAAAATGTTACTACTTTGACAGCTCTGGTAATATCACACATTCTTAATTATCACCTTAATATTTTTATCTCATGTTATGTCTGGAAGTCAATAATTTCCCACCTCAGTTTAACAGAATTTCCTGCATATAAATCAGAGTGGACATGAGACAATTCAGCTATATTGGCATTACTTTGAATTAGGTGTTAGTTACTTGGTTTATTAACTGTGAAAATATATGAAGCTGGTAAATTAAAATACAGTTTTGGTGTCGGGTCAGTGGCTGGAATTGAGCACTCGCAAACTAGCAAAATGCAAGACAAAATAGGAAAATGCTGTCGTACATTTAACCTTTTCTTTACACTAACAAACTTGTGCAAGTGAAGCAGTGAATGTAAATTGATATTACTTCATAACAAGAAATGAAACTTATTACACTAATGTCATCACTTAAGGCACAGTTTCATTTTTTTAAGGTACATATACTTTAAAGTGACTCATATATGACTAAAATTTAATACAATGCAGTAAGAGTGACACAGTATCAATACAATTTGATAGTGATTTCTTGCCTAAAATACATCTACCAAATATAGGTGCTTTTTACAATAAGCAAAATAGTTGAAAATTTCAAATTAAACATTGAAAATTCCCCAAAATTTAGAAGAAATTAAGGTTGATTCTAATAGAGGCATCTGCCTCATGCAAATATTAATACATATAAATGCCTTTAATGATAATTGAATGGCTTTTCAAACAACTTAACAATAATTTGATGTCCTTTAAAGTATTTATTCATTTTTATCCAAGTTTAACACTCAAATTTCTCATTTAGGAAGAAATTGGCTGTTTGAGTAATAAAATAACTGCTGAAGTAGTAAAATAAAGTAGTAGAGTGTAGTATAAAGTCATGAATTTGCATATTGCTATAAAAATGTGTCTCATATTATATTATACAATATAGTACTTAAAATGATACAAAAATTCAACGAAGAGTGGGGAAGATGTTTATTAAATTTTCCTACAGGATAAACGGACTTTAGACATTACATCAAATGGTTGTTTTAACCTATGATCACAAAATACACACATGTACTTAAGTTCAAGTCCCTGGTAAACAACATTAATTAGCCTGTTAATTGACCCTGTCTCAACTGTCATATACATGTAGACTGCCATTATAACTGGTGAGGTATATAGTGTTTAAATTATTTAACCATAATGCTGTATGATTGATTATTGTTAATGTAGAGATGTGAGTGTTTTCTGCAGTGTGACAGGAAGGTTAACATTGCTTTTATCTTATTAATAATTAGCTCTCTCACAGATGGAGACTTCAGACTTGCCTTTGTCACCAGATAAAAGAGAGCCAGTAGGGCCAATTTGCCAATTCCAGTGGTAATAAGGTGAAAATTCCGTGCATTGTCCTTGTACATCTATATATAATTTTGTTTTATGCCATGAAATCTTTTCATATGTAAATAGAATGCAAATAACAAGCTGTTTTAAGAGAGATAAATGTTTGCATATTATATACAGTGAGAATGATGTGTAAAGAATGGCATTTACACTTAATTAGGTATGCTTTAATGTCATTCATATAATGTTTTGTTTTGTTTCAAGGAAATAGTTACACTTAAACAATTCTGTGTTGTTTCAAACTACTGGTATTTCAGTAATTTTATCTTGGAAAAATGCACCTTATCACTGTTAAGCCTTCTTCAAAACAGGGTCCCAAGAGCTATTTATAACATGTCAGTGATGTTCTGTTTCTAAAAATAGAAGATCAGGAAACAAACCGTCCGCTTTACTTATTTAAATATAGAGGAGCAGACCGGTAGATTAGTATTGAGGGATTTCCTTATTGTTCATGTATTCTTTTGTCCGCAAATTTCATTTTTCACCTTTATTCTTTTGATTTTATTATTTTATGAAAACGATTTATCTAAAAATAGCATTATTATTTAACCCTAAGAAAAACTGAAGCTTTAAGCTAGTGTGATGATAGTATCATGAAGATGATAAAGAGAAAGTAAAACAGTATACATGTAGGTCAAATACCACAAAAGGTCAGACTTAAGTTCAACACAATACTTGTTGAGCCAATGTTTTATCCAAGCTACAGCAAGAGTATAAATATACATATAATGAATTGAAGCACAACAACAACAAAAAAAGTTGAGTGAGTGGTGTATGTAAGAAAAATATTAAATGATATATGTTTGAATGACTTCATTGGATAAATGGCTGAGTGGTTTAACACTTTAGCCAGCTGGTTATGACTGAATCTACCCATGCGATCCCACCAGTGCAGACCAAGATCAGCTGTGGTATTCTTGCCATCTGATCATGGTCTGAACTTTCTGCTATTCTGTCAGTACATGTATTCATCTTGACATTCTCCCTTAAATAATTATGATAAATGAGCCGCATCACAACAAAACCAACATAATGGGTTTGCGACCAGCATGGATCCAGACCAGCCTGTGCATCCACGCAGTCTGATCAGGATCCAAGCTGTTCGCTTACAAACCCTTAACAAGTAGAGAAACTGACAGCAAACAGCATGGATCCTGATCAGACTGCGCAGATGCGCAGGCTTGTCTGGATCCATGCTGGTTGCAAACCCATTATGATGGTTTTGTCATGACGTGGCTCAAATGGTTTTGTTCAGGTTGAAAGATGTCCATTTTAGATCTTTAGCTATAATTAAAGGCATGGAAAGGGTTAAGGTTGCTATAATTTAAATCATTTGACCCTCACTGCTGCTGGTTAGAGGAAGCTATTTAGCTATTTGCTGGGTTAAGTTGGTGGGTTTGTTAATTGTAGTCAGAATAGTTTGGTGTGTTAATTAAGCAGATTTTTTTGCAACTTAAGTTTAGGGTCAGAAGCAGTTTAGGGTCAGAATCTCACTTCAAAGAGGATATTTGTCCATACATCAAATTAAAGAAAATATACACTTGGTGTTCAAGTAAAGCTTGAAGGTGAATTCGGAACCATGGTTCTGGCGTTTGCTCCGAAATAATGCACATATGCATCTATGATATTGTATAAAATTTTGACCAGTGGAAACTGGAATTCTGCTATACAATGAACATGTATGAATTATAACATATTAATGTGGCCTGAAATAAAACGAGCTTGTAATATTTTAAGTATTCTTGTTACAATTTTATTACATGTATTTGTTTTGTTTCTTTCAGAACATAAAGTGATCATCGTTGGCCTAGATAATGCAGGAAAAACTACTATATTATACCAGTTGTAAGTTCTATATATTAGATTATCATCATTGTAACAAAGTACAAGTAGCACACTAATAATTTATGCCCCTACATCACTTGATTTGTGGTCATTATACTCATAAATAGTGTTTTTGTACTCTTTGCCTCCATACATGAGTCTATGTTAACAAATTTAAACAAAGTTAAAATATCTCTTGCTTGCAAGCTAAAGGTAACTGGAGCTCTTTATTTTCTTTACCTTGCTGAATTTCTATAATATCAATTTTGCTACATATATAAATCAAGCTTTGAATACAGTAGAGACTGCCTGAGCGACCCCCGGATGTCAGCAACTCTCTTGTTTCACTCCCCCCCCCCATCTCAACTTGTATTCCTATATAAATGGTCTGAATTATACCATATCCCTAATTGTCTGGTCCCCATGGACTCCCTGTTATATATGACCTTTTTCTAAAGGTTCCTTGGAAAGTAACATATCACAGTCTCTACTATTAATTATATAGCTCTTGTAATATAGTTGAAATCCGTCCTCTTTCTTGAATATTGTTCACAATTTTTACTGTTTTCTATTTCAGTTTAATGAATGAAGTTGTACATACGTCACCAACCATAGGCAGTAATGTGGAGGAAGTGGTATGGAAAAATATACACTTTTTGATGTGGGATATAGGTGGGCAGGAGTCTCTACGTTCTGCGTGGAATACATACTACACTAACGCTCAGGTAGGCAAATAACAAAATAAGACTTCCTCTCATTGAACAATGTCAGGCATCAAAAAATATTTTAGTGTCACTTGTCCTGCAAATCGAATGTACAAATCGTCCTGCATCAAGTTCTCTTAAATTCTACTCATAATTTCAAGTAGACGAGTGGTATTTTGGATCTCTGAATGTATATGGATGTTATCTAGTGGTTAAAAAGGAAATTCAGGGATTCTTTGGTAAGAAACCTTAGACATAAGTGAAATGTCAATTCGGGGATTCTTTGGTAAGAAACCTTAGACATAAGTAAAATGTCAATTCAGGGATTCTTTGGTAAGAAACCTTAGACATAAGTAAAATGTCAATTCGGGGATTCTTTGGTAAGAAACCTTAGACATAAGTAAGATGTCCCTTCAGTCAGTCCCTCTGATAACATGATGTCAAACATTTTCAGTCAAACAAAATGTCCATTCCTGTCTTGTCTATCTGATCAAATATGAACAAAACAATTCTATCAAACAAAATATATTACATTCTGAATTTGTATTTATTGACCAAGTTTGTGAGTATATGATCCTGATAGGCAAAACTAACATTTATAGCTTGGTAGGTGTAATTTTAACCACCCAAATATGTGTACGAGTTTTAAAATTCCCCTGTATGGTAGAAAATCATTTACCATAGATGACAATAGTTAGACCTTATATATATTTTACATTGTCATCATGGGGATTGTGTTTTTGATAGCATGCTCATACTTTTCTATGCTTTTGAAGTTGCAGGTTTGATTGTTTAAGTTTCATACTTATATATAATATATTTTGGATCTCCCATGAGCTGTCATAAACATATTATATAAAAATTTATTTAACATGTTCATGAAAATTGTTATAAATTTTATAGCATTTTCTTAGATGAGTTTTAATAAAAATTTTAAATTATATGAGAAAGTAATATGAGAATCTTTTAAATCATATGACTTAACGTTTTGAAATTAATAATAGTTCTAAAACCAATGAAAATAAACTTGTTTTGATGCTTTTTCAAGCGCTTTTGTAGTAAAAGTCATATATCTAGACTTACTTTGAAAAAAAAATAAAACAACAACAAAAAAAACGAAAAAAAACAAAAAACAAGGAAAATAAAAAAATTAAACTAATCGGGCACACACATAATGTCCCTCTCCCCACTGTTAAAACCTTTTTGTATTGTAAATTGAAACAAAAACCTTTCACCATCTTTATATTCCTGCAGGGAGATTATTTGCAAGTTTATCTTGTCCCAGTGTATGGTAATGCTTTGAACATGTACATCGGTGAAAGGACAAACAAGATATTCTCAGTGGAATTATGTTCATAAAGTCTTAATTTACCTCGGTCACGATTTTACAATCTTGTTTTATGGTATCGTTTGTCTCCTCCGATGACAGAATTTCTGGAGAGGATTTATGTTCACCAATTAACTTTGGCAATAGCAGTCAGTGCGCATTGTATAATATTCTGTAGTAATAGACACTTTTTTGCAAGTTTGTATATAAATTGGATGTGGCAAATTGTTTGATGTGGTTTTTATTCAAACCCACGATCCTGAGGTTGTTGATTCATACCCTGTCCTATGATCCCGAGGTTGATTTTGATTATACTTCTTAACCATAATGCATTTGCTGCCCATAATTGTTTCATGTAAGTGAATCTTACAAAATACATGTAACTCACAAGCTAGGTCTTATTTTAAGGTTCTACACTCTGCATCAGGTATGCATCTTTTATCAAGCATATCAATTAAGATATAATTTTATCATAACTAAAATACTGAAAAGTTCAAAAAAAAGTTCAAAAGGAAGTCATTTACTAAAACACAAGTGTGACCATATACACCACAAAGATGCATACCTGATGCAGAGTTTAGAACCTTATAATAAGACCTAGCTTGTGAGATACATGTAATTTGCTGTCTTGCTTGATTTGTAGATGAATTCGAGTTGAAGGTTTAAAGTTCAGGGAGTTACATACATGAGGCATTCTTTCAAATGAATATGTCACCTTAACATAAGGTCTTCAGCATACCTATTGTTATTATTGTGACAGGAATGCCCCATCAAAATGAAAGAGCAAAATATTTTAAATTTGTACATAAAAATTTTGAAGTCAGAACTTATGTGGTCCCTATGTTATACTTAACAATGTACATAGAGCAATATATATGCCATTTTGCATTACAGTTTTGTCAGACAACACAAATATAAAAGATGGCCAAATTTCATAGTCAGGTGACATGAATAGCAACATACAAAATGATAAACATTCTAACATCCTTTAGTTAATACTGTAGTTTTATGTATTGGACAATAAATTAAAACTCAAGCATTCAACAGACAAACATTTTAATTCAGAAAAAAACTTTTTTGAGTCAAGAAGAGAACTATTTTAAGAGCTCTATATTGAATTGCTTTTCAAACTTTTGATGTGTAATTTGATAACATGTTAAAGTCTGTAGTTGTAAGAAAACATGGTTGTATACATTAATTCCTGAATGTAACTGTGATATCATATTTACTCTGTATATAACATATTGTTGATAATTGTTGACAGTGCATTGACAAATTGACAAAATGGGTGGTGGCAGATATTTAGCGCCACAAAACTTGTTTGAAGGGTAGAAATATATATAAATTTATTTGTAGAGGGAATGAACTATGATTTAAATTCATTTGAAGTTGAGTATTTTTATGTATACATGTATCTATATAAATGAAGATGTATCTATATAAAAAGGGGTGTCATATATGTGTAATCATGCAACATCCCAGACCCTCCCATCAACCCTGAGGACTTGTAAGTGGAAGCAGGGGTAATTGAGCCTGGTGTTTAGCCTCACATCCAGGTCAGTCAGGTGGTTTTGTGCCGGCACCAAATTACTGGGGGATATGTTCAACTCCCAGTCATGCATTTACCATCAGAATCAAAATGCAGTATAAGGCCTTTATCAGGGATCAGAAAATCCAGATGTTCAGTGTGAAAATATATTTCATATTTCACTCAAATGAAAATATGCATGTAGCCTCTTAGTAGTTTTTTTGTAAATTAGATTTCGTGATCAAATTTTACCAGTTATACATATAGTTACTGATGACATTGTTTATATTTCAGTATATAATACTGGTGGTGGACAGTACAGATAGGGAAAGATTGTCAATTACCAAAGAAGAGTTGTGCAAAATGATGGCCAATGAGGTACGTATGTATGAAAATATAACACAGTAATCTTCCATAATCCAACATCTTACAGTTTCTTATAACAGCAGGAGGAGTATCTTATAACAGCAGGGGAGAGCATCTTATAACAGCAGGGGGAGTATTTTGTAACAGCAGGGGGTAGTAACTTATAACAGCAAGGGGAGTGTCTTTTAACAGCAGGGGGGGAGTATCTTATAACAGCAGGGGGAGTGTCTTTTAACAGCAGGGGGGAGTATCTTATAACAGCAGTGGGAGTGTCTGGTCTCAGGATTTACTGAATTGAAGTACTAGTTGAAACACAATGTTTTACTCTGACAATTTTTGACAGTACAGTATTTCTAAACAGTAGATTGTCATTTTTTAATGTGAAAGAGAATGAAGGCCTTATCCAATAGACAAGACCTACAAAGATTCTTATTTACAATGTATGTCTTAAAAATCACTGTTTGTGTAAACTATTTACCCAACATGTGTGATTTACATTGGATATAGCACATTCATGATGTCTCTAGCAGACTAAATGGTAAAATCTCTTGACAATATTTGTACTGTTTAAATTTCTCTGGAAAAAAAATATCATGAAATTGAGAGGCGTGCTAATTTACAACCTAGCATTTAACGTAAACACACCAATAACAAACAAAAAGTGAGAAGGGAAAACTTGAAGTTAAAATGTATATAGCTTGCATGTTCAATTTACTGACATAAATAAGTGATGCAGAAAGCCGATATCTGTTCATAGAATGCTCAAGTTAGAAAACTTCATGTCAATTTGTTCCCCGACTAAGATGTTATAAAACAGGAATTGGAGTTTTAATTACTTCAGCTTCAGTATAACACCTGCTTTATTCAATTAAAAACCATAATAAATTATTGACGAAAGCATTAATATGGCATGTTATGTCGTAGGCTTATGTTAGAGGCATCATTACAGGGTGTTGTTAAGAAATTTTTATTTTATCTTTTTGATTCATGACGTTGTAACAGTTATTAAGGGATATGAATATTTCATTAACTTTCATTTATGGATGCTATAATGCTACAGTAGTTTTATTTATTACGCCAGTTTTAACCTTTTTTGGTCATATCTTGGCATGTTCCACCAAACCGGCTTTCCAGCTTTTCTTGATATTTTACTGACCAGTATTTTCCAGTTCTCAGCAAGTGATTGCAGCTACTTATCCCACAATATTTCTAAGTCAGTGGAAATCATGTGAGATTAGTTGTCAGTCACTTGCAGAGAAATTGATAATTAATACTGGAAATTGGCATAAAAATTAGACTTACAAACAGCTGTAGGGTTGTAAAAAAGGATATTTTACAGTGTGTTAAAGCATTATCATAAAAGTTAATGGAATATTCATATCCATTAACTGTCATTACATCATTGATCAAAGAGAAAAATTAATGTAAAGTTTCTCATAAAAAGTCATGAAAAAAACACCATCTTTATACTATTATATTATAATTTGACTGTTTCAAGTAGAATCTTTACTTGTTGGTGTTTTTGTATGTTTCATAATTATAAATCAATATACATGTATTTTGTTAATATCAGTTGTTCTGACATTTTAATTATGGTCTATTTTAACATTCTAAACTGGTTTATTCTAGTATGAGGCAGTGCGAGAAAAATTTGTTTTGAACTACCTTGACCATTTTATCTGAAAGTTTCTTTATTTGTCTTTATGATATTTATATTTTAAAAATTTATAATGAATTCTAAAAAAAAAGTTTGGCAATACAGACGATTGATTTTGCACTCCTGAGGAAATATTGCCAAATTTTGGAAGGAAAAAAAACCTTTCTGCTTACTTCTTGATGACCTTTTATATAAATTCTGATGAGGTTATATTTATTGTACATGTATATATAAATAATTATATATCTCTGTAATTTTTTTAGGACTTGAAGAAGTCAGCTGTATTAATATTTGCCAACAAACAAGGAACATCAAAGGTTCAATGTCAGCCGCTGAGATTTCTCAACATTTAAATCTGACAACAATAAAAAGACCACCCTGGCATATACAGGCATGCTGTGCTCTAACTGGTGAAGGGTAGGTTCATATTTCTGTTTAGCCATCCATCCATCCATGTAGAAAATAGAATACATTGACATTTAAATCTGTATTATGTATGTTTAAACTTATTTTGACTCAACAGTAATTTGGCATCCTGGGGTTTGCCGAATTTTAAAAAAAACTTTGCTCTTCATTAAAATCTGAGAGTCAATTTATAAATTAAAGAATTTTTATTGCCTTGAAATTTTAAAGATTTAAACAGCAGATTTTTTTTGCCAACCAAAGAAAAAAAACTTAAAGTAATTTTTCTTAAAAACTAAATAACAAAAATTTAGAGCAGGGAACACCATGTTGTCTACAAGTGGTTCAAATACAGTGGGGTAGCCCCCCGGGGTAATTTTTCCCTTATATGATAAGTAAAATTTTAAAAAATTTCTTTTTTTAAGAAAAAATATTTTTAATGAAATTTTTGGTTTTTTTTTTTTTCAATAATTGGGCCCACAGAAGCTTATTGTTAGTAGCATTAGTAATCATTTTTTATTCCCTTAAAGGGACAAAAGCTGACCATAAATTTTATTTTGGAGGGTGATAATTTTAAAAATTTGTTTTGGCCCCTGGGGTCAAAAAATGGTTTGGTCATCCGTGGAATGATTTTTCTTTAATTGTTTGATTTTTAAAAAAAATCATCTTAGGCCAATCCCTGTTTAGATACTAAAACTAAATTTTAGTATTTAAAAGGCAAATAAAAAAAAAAGGGGTCAATAATTGCCGCCCCTACATAAATTTCTTATATTTGTGGGACCAAAAAACTTAAAAATTCGAAAAACAAATTCTGATAAAATGCCGCATTTCTAGTATGTCTTAATTTTTCAAATCCGGGGTAAAATCCCCGGGGGGTGTCATTGTTTCAACTAATTTTTGGGTAAACTGAAAAACTTTTTTAAAAATAACGTTGAGTTTTTGTTAATAAACATCTTTTAAATTTGGTGTTACCAATTTGTTAAGAAAAAGAAGGGTTTAAAAATGCCCCGCTCTTCAGGGCCATCATGGCCCTCTTGTTCATATTAATCTATGTTTGTATAAAGACAATAAGAGAAATTTTTCTTTTCTGTTTCAGATTGTATCAGGGACTGGAGTGGATCACAAATAATTTAAAGAAACGATGACCTAGAGGTCTTGTTTTATATTAGGAAATTATTATATATAAGTGTATAAATACTTGCCAGATTATAAAGGCATTCTTGTCCTGGTGGATTTTTGATAGATCTGCCACAGGAAGTGAAAGCCAAAAATTCTCCTTCAAAATTGGAGAGTATTTCAGGAAACAGGAAGTAGATACAAAGTTTTGTGTTCCTAATATGAAGGCTGGTGAATTTGATATTGACAAAAAAGTACCAGTATTTAAACAGTGTGTGATTGAAGGACAAGAAATTGAAAATCAAAGCGAAATACTGCCATAATGACAATAACAAACTATAGTTTTGTCATTTACTGAAATATTCAAATCAACTGATTCCTTTTTACCACCTTCACCTTTTATGCCATTAGTCAATGTTAATGCTTAAAGGTGATTTTGTGATTTGATTTTGACCAAGATCTGTTGGTCCTGTGATTTATTGCCTAATTTATTGAGAAAACATCACTCTAGATTGTAATGGAAAATATGAATTTGGGAAACCACTTGAATGGCATGCATGAAAAAAAGGAAATTTTGAACAAGAAGAAAAATGTGTATGATACTAAATAGAGAAACACACTAAAAATGGTTTTAATTTGAATGTTTTAGATATATTTTTAGTCAAAATAGGATTTTTATCTCATTCTCAAAGTTTATTTGGCTCAAACACTACATGATTCATCACATTACCTGAAAGCCTTTTATATGTGCATAAAGATGAAGAAATAGGTCAATAATTTCAAAAGGAAGACTAATAAGATAATGCAGATTTAATTATTTCAAAATGAAGTGTCTAAAGGAGAGAGAGAGAAAACATGTCCAATAATTTCTAAAGGAAGTGTGAAAGGATGGGGAATAAAACATGATCAATAATTTCAAAAGGAAGTGCATAAAGATCAAGAAACAGGTCCAATAATTTCAAAAGGAAGTGCATTAAGATGAATAGGTCCAATAAGTTTTAAGGGAAGTGCATAAAGATGGAAAAAAACAGGTCCAATATTGTCGAAAGGAATTGCATAAAGATGGGGAAAAAGAACAACAAGTCCAATAATTTTGTAAAGATGAAAAAAAGGATGTCTAATGATTTCAAAAGGAAGTGCATTAAGATGAAAAAAGTTCTGATAATTTTTTAAAAGAAGTGCATAAAGATGTAAAAAAGGCAGGTCCAGTTTCAACTGTGGAAAACGTATTTCAACAATAACAACAACAAGCAGCCAGGGATTAGTTTATTGGTGTAGGAATCTTTATTCATGTGCCAACATTATTCTTAGACAAAAAAAATAGTTTGAGAAGGATGGGTGCATGTTTTACCTTTTGTATATATTGACCTATTATAAGAATGAGTGGTTAGGTTTTACAGGGTTATATTTGTATATATAGCTAGATTTAGGTGATTCTATTTATAGAACAGTAGTAGATATGAGAGTCAATGAAAGTGCAGAGAGCATTGAAGTGCTGTTATGAAATTTATATGATGAAGAAAATTATACAATTGAGCCGCGTCATGACAAAACCAACATAATGGGTTTGCGACCAGCATGGATCCAGACCAGCCTGCGCATCCGCACAGTCTGATCAGGATCCATGCTGTTCGCTATCAGTTTCTTTACCTGTTATACGGTTTGTAAGCGAACAGCATGGATCCTGATCAGACTGGGCGTATGCGCAGGCTGGTCTGGATCCATGCTGGTCGCAAACCCATTATGTTGGTTTTGTGATGACAAGGCTCAATTAAGGATATTTGTTATCAACTTAAACTAAATATAATTGTTAGTAAATTAAACAAGGAAATAAGGGGATGCTGTCAGAAATATGTAGTCAATTGTTTTATTTTTATCAATTGAAATTTAATGAAGTCAACATAAATTTAGGTATCTTTTAAGGGGGCTTGATAGGCGGATTTGGTTTTTTTTTTTTTTGGCATGATGATCTTCTAGATTTGCTGTCAATTCATTTTACAATGAAGAAAAAAACAACTATTTCCAACCATTCTCATATTAGAATTAGAATAGGGGTTAATCTTTTGAATCGTTTATGAGACAGTAGTATTTACAGTTTTAAGGCAATTAACACTGCCATAACTCAGAAGAAATAAAGAACAATTTTTCCTTTCCTTTCTCATCTTTTATATACTTTCTAATTTTTCATGATAAGCTTTTGGGTTCTGTAATATTATGCAGTATCTATATTGCAAACTTTTTTTTTATCTAACATCAGGTAAGAATGATGAACAAAAAAAAAATGAAGATATCATGCATGGGCAACTGTGAAAGTTGCATGGGTGACTGTGAAAGTATAAGAGAGTGACCAGTGATGCTTAATTTGATTGAATCAATTTGAATGTGCTTGCCTTAAGTTCATTATACAGTCGATATTTGCTTATTCCAAGTAAACTTGTCTATTCAGTCATACCATATAGTGAACCTAGTCATTCTTATATTGTTATTCTTGTACACTTTATAGTTTAGGACGGTTAGCTTAGCAAGTGAAATTTTGGAAGAATGTGAAGCTTCATTAGTATAATCATTTTCCACATTATATCTGATAAACATGAAAATGTAGATCAGTTTATATTTGTGATGGAAGTATATTAGAGGTGTCGTTTATTTACTGTTTGAGTGTCATCTTTAAAAAAGACAGGCCAGCATTGCTTTGCCAGGCCAGCATTGCATGTCCATGCAGTCTGAGAATAAAGCCAGGACAGCCTTGCATGCCTGTGCAATCAGACAATACTTTAAATACAGTTACTCACTTAGTATTCTGAGACTGAAATACCTTAAATCATAAATAAAATTTTCCAAATTCAAAGTAAAGGTAAGTCCCATAAAAAATATGCTAGGTAGAGATTAAGAGTTTCACCTGTTTGAAGCTTAGCTGTTGACTGAAAATATAACTACTCTTAATATAAATATAAATTCTGTGCAAATTTTGTCAGGTTATACTGAAGCACAGACTCTACTATAACTCCAGCAAAAAATTTCAGCATTAAGAAAAAAAAACTTACTTAGCATTTTAATTGGGAATACTGAAAGTTATTTTAAGAACATCATGTCTCATTGTTACTGGTATGAAAATCGGAATTTATTTCATTTAAGTTAGACAATAGGTTGATACGGTTTCATATATTTGAATTTTTCAAACCATTTTTCCTACATTCAGATAACAAAACATTACTAAATTGATAATATTAAACATTTTCCGACTCGGTGTAAGATTGTAGATTGCCTTAAGAGTGTATATATCATGCGTGTAACTATTTTGTTTTTACGGCTTTATTGATAATTTATAAAAAGTTCAGTATTTTATCATGTGTAATAAATGATGTTGTTTGTGATTTTATCATCATTTTAGTTTGTTTTGTTGTTTTTTTTTGCGAGATTTTGGCGATGTTTTAACCAGATTTTCCATCAGAAAACTCTTGTTATTTGATTGGTAAATAACAGTAGGCGGCTGGCTTGTAAATTAATATTCACTCCTATATTTCCCAAGGTTATTTCAACTCAAATTTCACAGAATAATCTTCATTAAGTGCCCAGATGCATATTTGCAGAATTTTATGATTTTAGCTTTTATGGTTCCTTTGGTGTTTTTCCCCTGACTTATTTAATATTGGCAAAAAATCTGGCTTCGTGAAAATGTCTGTTCATTTTATTAGTTTTTGATTTTTTTTTAATGAAATGCTGTTGTTTTGATCAAGATATAAAATCATATCATTTTTCCTCATTTACCATTAAAAATATACCCAGTATTCATAAACATGTATTATATTTTACATCATCATCCTGTTGTTATATTTCATGAATGTTCATTTTTGTCACTGACTTTGTACATAACATGTTTCCATGGAAACTGTGAAGTTAAGTTATTTTATAGTCGGACAAGAAATTTTAATTTTTGATTATAACAGTTTAGCAAATAAAAAGCAACTATCTGGTAAATTTATTTATAACATGTATCCTAAAAATGAAATGTTAAAATAGTTGTTGCCTTTGCCACCATTCTTAAGTTAAACTTAAAATTTTTATTTTATTAAAAAAAACACACTCAAAAATATTGTTAAAGGAATAAGAATGGATGGATTGATGTTTGTCTAATATAAATATTCATCATTTAAAAAGAGGAACCATGACAGTTTTCCTATTGACATCAACCATATAAGAGAGAAATTCGTGTTTAAAGACACTATTTTTTACTTGAGAAATAAGTTCATGGGCGCCGCCATTTTGGCGTTCTGTCATTCTCGCGAGACAGACGAGACCGAGATTGTGACGTGTTATACCCACTTCCGGTATAGGTGTACACGCTGGTACAACTGAAATATATCTTGATGAAGAACTTATTAATTAAATTGCGTACATTATATATTATTTATGAAAACATCATATGGAACTGAATTGCTTTAATTAATTAATTGAAGACGCCGCGACATTAATTATCATTTGTCCGATATTCAAGCTTGCTGATGATCCCACCACATGATTTAAGCAATGACTGCTTAATTTTCAAAGATAAACCATAAATTTACATTGGGTACTACGAGAAACTTCTTCAAATTGACGATATATCCTTTTATTTTGTACTTAATTTTCGCTAGACAAGCTGTCCAAATAGGGTACATCGCCGGTCATGTACTTTTTTTCAGGTAAAATATCAACTAAATCCAATATGCTGAGGACGCGATTTTCCGCCATTGACGCTAAAAATGAGAAAGGCGCAGGAAAATCGGCAGCCAGACTTATATCGTATGAAAACAAAACTGTCCGTAAAGTTATTTAGGCACCCAGTCAAAACTGGTACCAACAGCTAGGTTGCCCATTCCCCTATAATTACGCATATTCTCGGGTTTATCCAGTTCCCCAAAGCTTTTTTCCACGTTATCTACTTACCAAATTCCTTTCCCCGACAGATACGCATTCACTACCGTAAATTTAATCCAATAAAACAAAAAATCATAAATCTACTTAATGTTTAAAAATGATTATTGGTAACTGAAAAAAAATGTGTTGCTATTTTATGACGTGCTGTAATTTACTACAGTATAATTTGACAGGTGTGGAACCGATTTCCCCCTAAGGTCATTCAGTTCACTGATGAAGCGTAAAAAAATAGATGTCTATTTCGTCATTATAATATTTGGCAAGGGTGATTAACCAATTAGGGCAACATTGTGCATGATCAAAAGGTCTGCCGGCACAGAGGCATACAAGGGCCAATAAAAATCGTCAGTACACAGTATGACAGGAGCATTTGGTGCAAATTAGGAACAATTAAAATGGACAATGCGCAATATTAGACATAAGTAGTAAGAACCAGCAATTGTGTGAATAAATTATGCAAATTAGATTTTTGAGCAGCCAATAAAAATGATTTGCTTGCAGTTAATATTAGGCTACGATTACGATGCGCAGCATCATACGTTGACAGACATGTTAACAATTTACTTTTCAAAACAGTTGCTTATATTTTTGAAATGTGTACATCAATTATAACATATGTTGACACCGTTAAATTTGAAAGTCAGAATCAAACTGCAAAAAAATGAATTATATGTACTATTAAAACACGTTTTAGTAGGGTTTTTATAATGGAAGTGGCTAGCGCACGGGCCCGTACGGCTAGCCAAAAGTCTTAGCCGTACGTGAGTCACGTACGACTAGCAAGGACACGCTGTATTGGCTAGCCGTACGGCACTTTTCAAAATTTTATGGAAGTCGAAAATGCATATGTTATTTTATGACTTTAAGCGAGGATTTTAACCAAGAAACAGCATTAATTGTCTTTGGATGTAAACTTTTTAGAGATTAATCGCCTTGATCGCTATATATATCGATCTTTGTCATCGCAAGATGTCGAGAAAAAATAGCCTTTGCTTGCATTTACACCAATTGAAAGAGTTTACAAATTTTTGATAATATATAATCCTTTTTTGATTCATTAAGTTTAATTTTCGACACCTTTTATATGAAAAAAAAAACAACAAAAAACAAACACTGAAAATGATTGTTGTTAGGCTCTTGATAATTGC